GACTTTTTATGATTCAATTTGTGCTAGATACAGTGAGTTGTAATCCGGTTCCCAGCATACATTTACTACGCAAAGTAGCCTTTATAACGTCAAACTCCTCACAGTGATAACCTCCCTTTACTGATTGTAATCTCTGTACTGATAAGGGGAGATCACTGGGTAGGAGTGGTAAGGACTAGAAGAGGCGATGCAAAGATAAACAGAAGGCGAAGGCACCACTCTATAAAAAGATCTTTTCATCGAAACTTTTTACATTCTTTGAAACCATAGAGCTATCTCCTTGGCGACATGACTATCTCCTTCACGACAGAGCTGTCTCGCAGAATAAAAAACATATATTTTCTTTAATAACAAATTTTTTTGTTCTGATATCAATTTTATCTGATTTTTATACCTTTTTTCTACTTGAAACGTCTTGTTTTTAATCTGAATCGATATTTGATGAAAATAGGAGAAAAAGTAATCTGTTTCATGATGAAACTGTCCATTGCAACGCTAAATTCGCTAACCTACAACTACATTTCAAACGCAAATTTAACAACTTTACGTTTCTTGGAAACATTAATCAAATCTTTATGGTATAGCATTCTTCGAATTTCGATATTTTGTGTAGAGTTTTCAAAATATTTAAAAATTGACAACCCTTTACCTTTGTTGGCGACTAGAATATTAATTAGCGACATGCACTAGCTAGAGGGATTTACCGTATACCTCCGAAAGAGGTAGATCTATCGTTTACCAGGCGTGAAATTGTATAAGAGTATTGTACTGGTTGTAACATTTTGTTTAATAAACTATCTATCTATCATAAAATAAAATAATATCATCATCACCTGAACATGTACGATATCAGGAGAGTAGAGTTTAAAAAGTGAATGGGGTAAAATGACCGAAAAAGATTTCAAAATTATAATGTTTATAGAACTTATCTTTACTCTATAATGTATGTTAAATAATCATATTATACCTTTCTATGTAAAGAAATATCAAACAAATGTGTTACAATTGAGGGGGAAAATATTATTTCATGGTAGAATAAATCTTTTTATTACTATCAATTCACTAAATAATGGTAAAAAAAAATTCTCATTCAAAATAGTATTCATACAATTTAGTTTTTTTCTATAATATCTGTGTAACTATTATGAATATGTTATGGCATTTTATATATGTAATATAAATTAATTGTATAACAAATAAGGTTAAAAATCATCAAAGAAAATCATTATATTTGATTGATTGATTGATTGATTGATTGGTTGATTGGATGATTGGTTGGTTGGTTGATTGATTGATTGATTGATTGTTAGATTGATTTATTTATCTAAGAACTAAAACATAGGTTGCGAAAAATAAGAACTTGCGACAAGTTGTGATAAATGGCACCCTAATGAAATCATTATTTTCATACTACATAAATATATAATGTGTTCCTCTTAGTTCACGGTACTTAACACTTAAAAACAGTAAAGAAAACAATGAACTTACGGTACAAAAAAATGTCATATGCTGTAACATTTAGGTATTTTTCTGCTATGTGACATAAGGAAACAACAATATATTCTATTAAAATATTAGTTTTAATGGGCCAGATGTAGACCATGTGTCGGCCATTTTGAAATGAGTATGTCGTAATGTGTCATCATTTAAATCGCGGTAAATGGTGTTACCCCTTATTTATTTCATGTTTCAGTTAAAATTTCTATATAGTATACTACTCCATTTTAAATATTAAAACTATCTTTTATTTTGTTACCCACAATTTATTTTTTCAGCAAACAAGAACATTATTATTGTTTATTGCTTTTTGCAGAAATGGGTAAAATGTTGTTCTGTTTTGTACGGTGGCACAAAGGTGACATGTGTGTGTTTTTATTTATCTCGTGGCCACGAGATACTATGTCGTGGCCACGAGTTACTAAGTCGTGGTCACGAGTTACTAAGTCGTGGCCACGAGATAGCTAAGTCACGAGTTACTAAGTTGTGGCCACGAGTTACTAAGTTGTGGCCACGAGATAGCTAAGTCGTGGCCACGAGATAATTAACCAATCAGAATACACTATATATATTATGATTTTTTAAACTTAACAACTTACTTTTACATGCAACATTAATCTTTGAAAATACTGAAGATATTCACTTTGAAATTGTCTTTAGGATCATATTAGAAAGTCACCTTCCAAGGCCCATCAGACATTAATTTGGACTATAGCTCTTTGTTGGGACAATTTTGTAATCGAATTGGTCAGTTTGTACGTACTACGGCCTGTAAATCTTGTTTAATACGATAACATGAGAAGGAATAAGTCCTTGTTTATTTTATTTGTAAGAGACATTGCCCATAGACAGTAGATAGCCTATAAGGTAAAATCCTTGTCTGATGAATAACTTAAAAGGGATAAGCCATGGTTTATATAATCCAGAAAGATCATTGCACCTGATCAGTAGATGACATCTAATAATTTAGAGGTCATTGGGTCAAAAATCAGGGTCACAGTGACGCTAAATGTAAAATTATTGACAAGTCAATATAAGTTGTATAAATGGCACTTTTACAGGCTGGTAAAGTAGGGGCATTCTTGTACTATAGCACATGTCTAGTTAATTAGGGAAATTCACATAAATGGTGTAATCTGATTGGTTATTCATCTCGTGGCCACGACTTAGCTAACTCGTGGCCACGACATAGTATCTCGTGGCCACGAGTTAGCTATCTCGTGGCCACGACTTAGTAACTCGTGGCCACGACATAGCTATCTCGTGGCCACGACTTAGTAACTCGTGGCCACGACATAGTATCTCGTGGCCACGAGATGAATAAAAACACACACATGTCACCTTTGTGCCACCGTAGTTTTGCGTTAAATCTATAGATTTAAAATATTTTGCACAAAAACTTTAATGTTAAAAAAATAGGTTTATAAATTAAATATGTCAATTCTGACAAAATTTAATACTGGTCACATGGAAATGTGGTATTACCGTGAAATAAGTGATAACGCGGAATTAGTGATGTTGAGTCTTAAAAAAGCTGTTCCCATGATGTTTTTCGTGCTAAAATTGTAATTTGACTTGAAAATAATAAATATTTTGATAAAAAAGACTTTGAAAGAAGGTCAAGATATTGGCAATGTAGTCCTGAATAAATCTAATATAATCATATATATGCATTATAATTACAGTCAATAGAAGAAAACAAGCAAGTATTATTATTAGTCAAAATATATTGACGTGCCAAAGCTAGATTCTGAGATAGTTTCGTGCTGGTGGTAGAGGCGAGATATTGCCCAGGCACAGTAATAGCACAATATCTCGTCGCGCAGTAGGGCTACAATTAGTTGGACTAGTATTATTATGTGAATTCCTTGAAAACACACTAAGATGCTGGAAGAAACCCAAGCAATATCATATATTCTGTACAATGCATTTTGTGACGGTGTATACATAGTGGTTAAATTTGATAACATATCGTCATTATTGTGTTTTATTTGAGTCCAAGAAGGACTAGAAATGTATCTAAAACACACAGATGCCGTCGCTATATATGTTAGAACACAGGAATACATAAATAAAGATGATCATGTTGTGACAGTACAGCATATAGTTGGTATTTCATAAACTTTTTTTTGCAATATAGGACATTTTAAAGTTTGAGTACAGATGGCTATTGACAAAACAGGGTTTTTTTGGTTGTTGTTGTTTTTAAGTCTCAAATTCGCCTCTTTGCTGATGACACTGTTGTTTACATTACTATAAACTCGTCCTCAGACTCACAATCCCTACAGGAGGATCTCAATAAGATGCAAATCTGGGAAAGGGAGTGGGACATGGAATTCAACCCCTCAAAATGTCAAGTCCTTCACATCACTAAAAACAAAAAAGTCATCAACAACAAGTACTTCCTTCATGGCCAAGCTTTAACATAAGTTCCTAGCTCAAAATACCTTGGCCTTGACTTGTCCACAGACCTAAACTACAACACACATATCTCAAGAATTACATCAAATGCAAATAAAACCCTAGGATTCATAAAACGAAATATCAATACAAAAAATGAAAAAGTAAATCAACTAGCTTATAAATCCCTAGTAAGGCCCCAGCTAGAATATGCATCAACTGTTTGGAGTCCCTACACACAATCAAACATCCAAAAAATAGAAATGGTCCAAAGACGAGCGATACGCTGGGTAAAACAGGATTACTCCCCTTTGTCATCAGTTACAGCCATGCAGAAAGATCTTGGCTGGCGTTCTCTCGAGCATCGCAGACTAGACTTTAGACTTATTATGTTTTTTAAAATTTACCATAATCTAGTAGCCATTAGCCTTCCCACCTACATTAAAACTCCATCTAGGCTTACTAGACATATGCATCCCCTCTCTCTTAGGAAAATACAGGTTGTAAACATCAGACTACCATAAGTTCTCGTTCTTCCCCCACTGTATCACACTTTGGAACCAGCTCCCAAAGAACATTGTCACCCTGCCTGATCTAGATCAATACAAACAGGCAGTGGTTAAGATACAGTATTAGTTGACTTGTTGTGTTTTTACTTTTAAATCTTTCTTTCACCCTTACTAATAAAAATATTTTAACAATGACTAGAATTTTTCAATGTCTCTCACTGTCCTGATCATGTTCATTTTCAGGTTTTTACTTTTTCTCACACCTTTCACTAACACACCCGACGCGCACAATTTTCTGCCTATAACACTCGCGAGAGGGGTTGGCAGTACTCAGAGATAGATAGATAAATAGTTTTAGGGTGACAGGGCACAAATTTCTCAGTTTAGTCTGCACTGGAGATGAAACTAGAAAACTAAAAGTTCAATAGGTAGGGCCACGTCGACATATTCACATAAGTAACAATAATTTTCAGATTATCTATGTCTCTGGTATTTTGGATATGAGTCATTGACTTGGAAATTTTGAAAAACGTTAGAGCCACAGATAAAAAATTATGTCGGACCATCAATTTCAATGTGCGTTCCCGCCAAGCATGCGCATCGAAAGGCTTTCATGAATGTAATAAGCGTTTGCTGACAGAGACGAGTATCCATGATCATTTATCAAAATTTAGAACACTTTGCTTTGAAATGGCCTTTAATTACTTTGTAACTGCCCACAAACCCACAGCTGTCAATGCATGTGTAACCGGTAAAGTTTATTTGAATTTTCCATGAAAACTAATTCTCTATTATTCTAGAAATAGTTTCAGTCCGTTGACCGTCTGAGTTCTTTATGTTCAAAATTGTTCAATGCATGCTATGCTTAGACAGTCCATTTGGGTGAATAAAGAAGAACAATAATGAACAGAATGTAAAGTAGAATTTTATTTATTATTTAAGAAAAAAAATATGCTGACTTATTTCAGTTGTCAATTTATGTATAAAAATTTTTGGAACGGAGTTGTAGCCCGGGTCTCCACGATACCGGTGTATACTGGATTCTCGTATTTCCGTGGTACCCATATTTCCAAGGTATCAGGCTTAAACAGTCTAAAGTGCCTCCTAGACTTAATGAACCTGCCAGTAGTTTTACTTTTACTATTTTATTGTATTTTTATCGAAATATTACATATAGAACTAAAAAAAATTATTTTATTCAGATTTAGAGCAAGGTTGTTTAATATTTCACCATTTTTCTTTTAGATTGCATACCTTTTGAGAAAATCTTCTTTGTTAAACAACCATTGAGGTATTTGATAAATGCCAAAGAGAAAATCGCCCCTTTCAGATAAGCCTAGGTATGGGTGTCCTAATAGATAAAGTTTAATATTGGTTTTGCTTTTGAAACTGTTAAAATGTTATTGCCTTGGAAATATGAGAACACAATTTTACTCACAAAGCTGCAGGTGGGTGTGTATTGGATTGTTGTATACATAATTGCTTACATGCAAACATTAAATGGAATAAACTATGATGCAATTGACATGTCTCTCCTACAATATTCACTTTGTTTTCCAGAATTTTATCCTCTTAACTTTTGTTGTCTGGGTTAAACAGTTAAGTACCACGGGAATATGAGGCACCAGTATACATATTTTATACAAGGTGTTTTTCATATAAAAATTTACTGACTTGAAAAAAAGAAGGAATAAACAACTTCATTAACATTTAATCCTCTTAAAATTACATTACAGAGTTCTGTTACTCTGAAATTCTCGCTCATTGCGAATGTAAACAATGGTCGACCATTTTATATGACGTAGTTAAACAGACTTCATGCTACCGGTGCACTGGTAAAAATGTTATTTATATGGAAAGCCATTGCAGTTTTAATAGCAAATATATCATTTTAGCATTCTTGTATTCATATCTGAAAAAAAAACGCTTAAAAACAACATAAAAACGTGTGTTTCAATAATTTATTGTTCATCTTTTATGACTCCCAAGGGGTCTCTGTTTTAGATCCTTTTCCTCCCAATTACAGGTGTATATTATACCATGTGGCTGGATTCAAAAATACCCCTTCACTTAATTTTAGTGTTGTTGTGATTGTCTGGTCCTTTTGTATCATTGAATCAATTTTATTTCTATATGATGAAGATAAAATATCGATATGGCACTTTACACAGGCTCCCTTAAAAGACTGAATGAAACTGACTTTTTAATTTTCATAAACTATTTTATATGCACTAATGGCTTTCCATAGATTAATTTTTTCCCGCCAAAAATGATGTCAAAAGGTCAAGTGACATGTAATGGAGGTTGAATGACGTCAGCACCTGTGATTTTTTATTTTCTTGGAAAAAAATGTGTTTTGTAGAGAGACTAATTTATGCAATAGAAAAATAGGATAGTAAAATAAAAATAAGGTAGGATATGTGAAATATTTCCTTCAGAAACTCTTGTAAATGTTTAAAAACTTTGAAATATCCAATATTACTGAGAGCATGTCAATATAAACACTCGGTAGGTGGTGTTGACAAAAATATCGCGAGATTTGTGAATATACCGGTACCGTGGAGTCACCGGTATCATGGGGTTCGAGTATATCGTCAGTCATCCCGTTTTCGTCATCATGAAAATAATATGTCAGTAATAAATCAACTGACAAAATATTATTGTATAGCTTTTTCACTGTCAGCCAAATAAGAAATAAACAAGAAGGCAGTGTACGCGTTTATGGCATAAACATATTTATTTACTCACAAAAATTTCTAGGCACAAAGAAGGAACACTTTTAGAATGTGTCTGCAGTAAATTCCATGTAAAAAAAACCTAACCTTATTCCATGACTCTAATCCTTACCCTAACCCATAACATACCCTAACCTAACGGTAGGCTAGCAGAAATCGGAGTGATTTTGTAGAAAAACAAATATTGAAGAATTAATATTGGGAAAAATCATATTGTTAAAAAAAGCTGAGGACAGATGCTAAAGTCTAGCCAAGAAAAAAAAGTCCGCTATTTATAAGGCCCTGGGACAAAACACTTTTTCCTTGTCACAGGTGTTCAGCATGTTGATTGGACACAACTCCCCACTCCCAACTCTCCAAAACCATGTAAACTGCAGTATTTTTCATTTGAAATATGTTTTGATACATGATAAATGCTTTTAATTCAATTTCCGTCATTTCCTACAAAAAAATAAAACAAACATAATCATATTATACCTTTCTATGTAAAGAAATATCAAACAAATGTGTTACAATTGGGGGGAAAATATTATTATGCCCCCTTTTGAAAAAAGGGGGTATATTGCTTTGCACTTGTCGGTCCGTCGGTCCGTAGACCAAATGGTTTCCGAGTGATAACTAAAGAACCCTTAGGCCTAGGAACTTCAAACTTGGTATGGTGATTGGTCATGACAAGTAGATGACCCCTATTGATTTTGGGGTCAAGGGGTCAAAGGTCAAGGTCACATTGACCTTGTAAGCAAAAACGGTTTCCGATCAATAACTAAAGAACCTTAAGGCCTAGGAACTTCAAACTTGGTATGGTGATTTGTCATGATCAGTAGATGACCCCTATTGATTTTGGGGTCAAGGGGTCAAAGGTCAAGGTCACATTGACCTTGTAAGCAAAAACGGTTTCCGATCAATAACTAAAGAACCTTAAGGCCTAGGAACTTCAAACTTGGTATGGTGATTTGTCATGATCAGTAGATGACCCCTATTGATTTTGGGTCAAGGGGTCAAAGGTCAAGGTCACATTGACCTTGTAAGCAAAAACGGTTTCCGATCAATAACTCAAGAACCCTAAGGCCTAGGAACTTCAAACTTGGTATGGTGATTTGTCATGATCAGTAGATGACCCTATTGATTTTGGGGTCAAGGGGTCAAAGGTCAAGGTCACATTGACCTTGTAAGCAAAAACGGTTTCCGATCAATAAGTAAAGAACCCTAAGGCCTAGGAACTTCAAACTTGGTATGGTGATTGGTCATGATCAGTAGATGACCCCTAACGATTTTGGGGTCAAGGGGTCAAAGGTCAAGGTCACATTGACCTTGTAAGCAAAAACGGTTTCCGATCAATAACTAAAGAACCTTAAGGCCTAGGAACTTCAAACTTGGTATGGTGATTTGTCATGATCAGTAGATGACCCCTATTGATTTTGGGGTCAAGGAGTCAAAGGTCAAGGTCACATTGACCTTGTAAGCAAAAACGGTTTCCGATCAATAACTAAAGAACCTTAAGGCCTAGGAACTTCAAACTTGGTATGGTGATTTGTCATGATCAGTAGATGACCTCTATTGATTTTGGGGTCAAGGGGTCAAAGGTCAAGGTCACATTGACCTTGTAAGCAAAAACGGTTTCCGATCAATAAGTAAAGAAGCCTAAGGCCTAGGAACTTCAAACTTGGTATGGTGATTGGTCATGATCAGTAGATGACCCCTAACGATTTTGGGGTCAAGGGGTCAAAGGTCAAGGTCACATTGACCTCTTGGGTAAAAACGGTTTCCGATCAATAACGAAAGAACCCTTAGGCCTAGGAACTTCAAACTTGGTATGGTGATTGGTTATGACCAGCAGATGACCCCTATTGATTTTGGGGTTAAGTGGTCAAAGGTCAAGGTCACATTGACCTTGTAGGTAAAAACGGTTTCCGATCAATAACGAAAGAACCCTTAGGCCTAGGGACTTCAAACTTGATATGGTGATTGGTCATGATCAGTAGATGACCCCTATTGATTTTGGAGTTAAGGGGTTAAAGGTCAAGGTCACATTGACCTTGTAGGTAAAAACGGTTTCCGATCAATAACGAAAGAACCCTTAGGCCTAGGGACTACAAACTTGATATGGTGATTGGTCATGATCAGTAGATGACCCCTATTGAGTTTTGGGTCAAGGGGTCAAAGGTCAAGGTCACATTGACCTCTTAGGTAAAAACAGTTTCGGATCAATAACTAAAGAACCCTTAGGCCTAGGAACTTCAAACTTGGTATGGTGATTGGTCATGATCAGTAGATGACCCCTATTGATTTTGGGGTCAAGGGGTCAAAGGTCAAGGTCACATTGACCTCTTAGGTAAAAGTAGTTTCCGATCAATAACTAAAGAATCCTTAGGCCTACGAACTTCAAACTTTTGGTGTTTGGTCATGACCAGCAGATGACCCCTACTGATTTTGGGGTTAAGGGGTCATAGGGAAAGGTCACATTGACCTTGTAGGTAAAAATGCTTTCCGATCAATAACTTAAGAACCCTTAGGCCTAGGAACTTCAAACTTGGTATGGTGATTGGTCATGACCAGCAGATGACCTATTGTTTTTAGGGTCAAGGGGTCAAAGGTCATGTAACATTGACCTTGTAGGTTAAAAACGGTTTCTGATCAATTAACTAAAAACGCTTAGGCCTAGGAACTTCAAACTTTGTATGATGATTGGTGGTGACCAGCAGATGACCCCTATTGAGTTTTGGGTCAAGGGGTCAAAGGTCAAGGTCACATCGACCTTGTAAGTAAAAACGGTTTCTGATCAATAACTTAAGAACGCTTAGGCCTAGGAACTTCAAACTTGGTATGGTGATTTTTCATGACCAGCAGATTACCCCTTTCGATTTTTGGATCAAGGGGTCAAAGGTCAAGGTCCCATTGACCTTGTAAGTAAAAACGGTTTCTGATCAATAACTAAAGAACACTTGGGCCTAGGAACTTCAAACTTGGCATAGTGATTGGTCATGATCAGCAGATGACCCCTATTGATTTTGGGGTCAAAGGTCAAGGTCACATTGACCTTGTATGTTAAAACGGTTTCGGATCAATAATAAAAGAACCCTTAGGCCTAGGAACTTCAAACTTGGCATGGTGATTAGTCATGACCAGCAAATGACCCCTATTGATTTTGGGGTCAAGGGGTCAAAGGTCAAGGTCACATTGACCTTGTAAGTAAAAACGGTTTCTGATCAATTAAGTAAAAACGCTTAGGCCTAGGAACTTCAAACTTTGTATGATGATTTGTCTTGACCAGCAGATGACCCCTATTGAGTTTTGGGTCAAGGGGTCAAAGGTCAAGGTCATGACCAGTAGATACTTGATAACCCTTGTTAATTGTTTGATCACTGGGTCAGAAGTCATGCATAATTACCTTATCACATGAATAATTGGCTGCTGATAGGGGGCATACATGTTTTACAAACATATCTTGTTTCATGGTAGAATCAATCTTTTTATTACTATCAATTCACTAAATAATGGTAAAAAAAAATTCTCATTCAAAATAGTATTCATACAATTTGCTTCTATAATATCTGTGTAACTATTATGAATATGTTATAACATAATTATTATATATGTAACATAAATTAATTGTATTATAAATAAGGTTAAAAATCATCAAAGAAAATCATTATTTTTGATTGATTGATTGATTGATTGAATTTATATGAAGATATCTAATCTCGAAATCATTGCAAGTGTAAGTTGACAGTGACCTGACCGCTAGGTTTTTGTGAAAATTACCGACTGCATGGCAGTTTATTCGAAATGATTAATGAATGATTATTTTTTTGTATTGCACAAATAAATACGATAAAATTATGTTATTATTTACAATTTTTAAACTGTTCAATCAAAACATCATATGAAACTATAACAAACCGTTTTTTTCGATTTGTCAAATTCTCAATCCAAAATGAAAGTAATGGATTGCTCCCCTTTATTTTCATATGAGTATTTTTATTGGTCAAGTGAAAACTTCAGACCAATGGAAATACTCGGTACAAATATAAAGGGAAGAGCACTCTGCTGCACCCGTTACTTCCATTATGATTGGGAATTTGACATATCGGGCAAACGGTTCATCATAGTTTCATAGTATAGTCTTTATTTCGGAAGCATTTACAAAATTTAGTTGGTCCAGAACGGCACTTTGGTAAATGCTTTAGCTGACTAATGTGTAAATGAACACTTAAAATTTAGTTTTTGAATTTTTTAAGAGCAAATAGGGCATGCACAAAATCATTGCTTAACAACTAAAACGCTACTTAAAATAGCAGCATGATTGTCAGTGAACATTTGATTTCTGTTTAATTACAATATTCATTTGTGTCCAATAACCGAGAATTCTATGTTAAAACCTTTTTGATGATCGTCTATATAGGAACAACATAATTGTATAATTTTTATAGAAATATTCCATAAGGTATAGCTTTAAAAACTTACATTAGATTTGAACATCACTAATGGCAACCCCATTACAGCATTAATTGAATTCAATTTTTTTTTTTCAGGGAATTTCACATCAAGTGATGACTTAAACCTAATTATAGCCAAGAATAGTCGCCTTGAGATATATGTGGTAACCCCTGAAGGTTTACGGCCAGTGAAAGAAGTTGGTATCTATGGACGTATTGCTGTATTGGAGCTGTATCGGCCACCTGTTAGTACAACTAGTATAGGCTTTGTATTTCATATTATTAGCATACACAGAGGATATTGAATGAGTGTTAGTTCAATACTGAATTTATTGAACGAGTTGAATAAAATTATATTATGCAAGCCTCTGGCGAGCATGATATTATTTTATTCAACAAGTAACATAAATTCAGTAATGAACTTACATGAATTTAATATTCTATTTATCACATACCAAAAATAAAGACTGTTTAAAGTGAAAAATAGACATTTTTCATTGACGCGCACACAGTATAACGCTAACATTAAGCCATTTCATTTTAATATTCAGTATTGAATTTACACAAATATAATATTCTATTTATCACATATCCAAAATAGTGTTTAAAGTGAAAAAGAATCACTTTGACGCGTCTATAGTTTAACGCTAACATTAAGCGCGTCTTTACACTATCTTTGTATATAAACACAGATGACGTCACATCAAAATATATGCACGGCCGTGCAATATCGTTTTTACGGAATCGCAAATTTGGCACGGATATGTGATAAATGAAATTATGGTAGCAGTATTAATAACTTGTGTATAGTAATTCAATTAATTTCTACTTTTTATTTGCAAATAAAAATGAAGTCACATTTTTATCAAAGTCTCCAGTGCATGCCTTATTTTTAGCTCACCTGACCACGAAGTGGTCAAGGTGAGGTATAGTGATGGGGCTATGCCCGGCGTCCGTCGTCGTGCGTCGTCAACAATTGGGTTGTTAACAGTCTAGCAGTCACAGTTTTGATTGGATCATCATCAAACTTTGTCAGAATGTTTGTCTCAATGAAATACAGATCAAGTTCGAAGATGGGTTATCTTGGGTCAAAAACTAGGTCACAGGAACTAAAAATAGAAAAAGCTTGTAAACACTCTAGTGGCTGCAGTTTTGATTCAAATATTCTGGAAATTTGTCAGGAAAGTTGTTTTGATGATTTCTAGGTCAAGTTCGAAGATGGGTCATGTCTGGTCAAAAACTAGGTCACAGGAGCTAAAAATAGAAAAAGCTTGTTAACACTCTAGTGGCTGCAGTTTTCATCTCAATATTCTGGAAATTTGTCAAGAAGGTTGTTTTGATGATATCTAAGTCAAGTTTGAAGATGGGTCATCTCCGGTCAAAAACTAGGTCACAGGAGCTAAAAATAGAAAAGCTTGTTAACACATTAGGGGCTGCAGTTTTCATCCAAATATTCTGGAAATTTGTCAGGAAGGTTGTTTTGATGATTTCTAGGTCAAGTTCGAAGATGGGTTATCTCCGGTCAAAAACTAGGTCACAGGAGCTAAAAATAGAAAAAGCTTGTAAACACTCTAGTGGCTGCAGTATTGATTCAAATATTCTGGAAATTTGTCAGGAAGGTTGTTTTGATGATTTCTGGGTCAAGTTCGAAGATGGGTCATCTCAGGTCAAAAACTAGGTCACAGGAGCTAAAAATAGAAAAAGCTTGTTTACACTCTAGTGGCTGCAGTTTTGATTCAAATATTCTGGAAATTTGTCAGGAAGGTTGTTTTGATGATTTCTGGGTCAAGTGCTAAGATTGGTCATGTCCGGTCAAAAACTAGGTCACAGGAGCTAAAAATAGAAAAAGCTTGTTAACACTCTAGTGGCTGCAGTATTGATTCAAATATTCTGGAAATTTGTCAGGAAGGTTGTTTTGATGATTTCTGGGTCAAGTTCGAAGATGGGTCATCTCAGGTCAAAAACTAGGTCACAGGAGCTAAAAATAGAAAAAGCTTGTTTACACTCTAGTGGCTGCAGTTTTGATTCAAATATTCTGGAAATTTGTCAGGAAGGTTGTTTTGATGATTTCTGGGTCAAGTGCTAAGATTGGTCATGTCCGGTCAAAAACTAGGTCACAGGAGCTAAAAATATAAAAATCTTTTTAACACTCAAATGGCTTCAGTTTTGATCCAAATTTCCTGGAAATTGGTCAAGAAGGTTGTTTTGATGATTTCTAGGTCAAGTTTGAATATGGGTCGTGTCTGGTCAAAAATGAGGTCACATTGCCCAAATATGGAAAAATCTTTATAACACACTAGAGGTCACATGTTTGACTCAGTTGTCATCAAACTTGGCCATGATGCTTGTTTAAGACATTGCTTGTAGGCGGTTGTGTCAGGTAAGGGATCGAGGGCCATCATGGCCCTCTTGTTATTAAAGTTCTAGGATTTTGCGTTAAATGATTATAATGCAGTGATTTTTTTTTCCAATTTTTAAAACAACCTGTGGCTTTCTGAAGGGGAAAATATAGTGCGATAAATCAGAAAAAGTTGAAACCTGAAATCAAATTCCAACAACTAAAAATGGGATTACCCACACATTTTATGAAAAAAAAAAAATTTAATTCAATTTAACATGCATGGTACATAGCAAAGGCTATCTATAGGGACAGATTTCTGTCTTCTAGCTGATATCAGATGCTATAAAGTCATGGTTCTGGTAAAAAAGAGCACGAGGCATTTTAGGGGAAAATATTTGCATTTTTAGGGGAAAATATACCTATTTTTGGCTAGGGGAAACAGCCTTTATTCGGCTGTAAAATACAGTGAAAAAAATCACTGTAATGTTACTAGGGTTTTTTTCCAGGATTTTGGGAACATGACCCATACCCATGAAATTGAGAATTTCAGCGATGTTTTGTTAAAAAAATGGGAATAATGCATGATTTAAACTTTGCAATGATTAAATGAATGCAAAGACTCACTGTCTTAGGATGGCATCTTCAAAAATTTAAGCACCATAACAGTGAAGAAGCCCTTATTTTCAAAGGTTTTAGAATTTGTTATTCAAAATTTTTATTTTGTAATTTTCATTTGGGAAATTTTTCCTGTGGATTGGGAAAATAATATACTATTTTCAATTGGGAATATGACCAATATGACCGAATATCGGCTATAAAATAAGGCAAATAATAATCCCTGGTTATCTCAGATTTTTCAGGGGATTTTCTTGTGGCTTTACTTATGTTATTTAAATTTCTCATCAGTGTTTAATTCATGTAAGTTAATTTGATTTTTTAACGGAATAAGAATGGATTGCTCAAAATCAAGAGTTCTGCAGTGTTGGAAATTTATCTTTTTCTTTTATTCTTTGTTTATTCAGCAAGCAATTAGAAAAGAAGAAAAAAATAATTAAAAGGGTTTTATGACTGTTAGTTTTATTTAATGCTGATTGTTCCTATGTTTTAGGGAGAGTTGAAAGATCTTATGTTTGTATTAACAACCAAATACAATGCTATGATATTGGAGTGCCAACATGATGGTGAAGCTATTGAAATAATTACACGAGCCCATGGTAATGTTCAGGTGAGAAACTTTCTTGCTCTTTTATACACTAGATAGTAAGATTCACTTGACTATGTTTTTTGTTTTCAATAATTTATTGTACTTTGTCAAATTGAAGTATGAAGGCAGACCTTTTTATTTTGAAATAAGGGATTAACTTTATTATATTTTCACATATGTATGTTTAAGATTAAGACAATAGGTTTTCCTGCAGTTTATCATTCAGTAAGTATGTTGATACATATTCAATATATAAAAATATGTAAAAATACGTGCTTGAAATTTTACAGTATTCAAGAACATTTGTCTAAAATTCCCACAAAGATACACTAGTCTGATGCTTGACCTGTACAAAACAAACATATTGTCTCAGTGTCACGGTAGTTGTTTTGCCTTCCTCATTATATAATGTGATAAAGATCTTACTCTTCCCATTCCTCAGAATGAAGACCAGTTATGTAATGTGAGTACTTGTGAGACAGTCTTCAACCAAATATAATCTTACTTTGAGTTTTGTATATATTGAGTGACTTAAAGAAAAATATGTACTACTGTATGTTTTAACTAGACATACATACACACTTCAAACTGTATGATGGTGAACTTGAACAATAACAAACTCTTGATCTATTGAGATATTAACATTATGAATCATATTTAATTATGTTTGTTAAAGGATCGTATTGGACGACCATCAGAGACCGGCATTATTGGTATAATAGACCCACTATGTCGAGTAATTGGACTGAGATTATATGATGGTTTGTTTAAAGTTATACCATTAGATAGAGATAACAAGGAACTGAAAGCCTTCAATGTGAGGTAAGCTGATAGCAGGTTTTATTTTTCCTCAAAATTATTCAGAGAAAAAAAGTCAAATTTGATATATATTTAGCCACTGGAATAAGTCTCTCAATTCTCTAGCCCAAATTCCTATTCTGTAGTGTAAAACCTAAAACTGTTGTGGTGAATTGATGATTTCTTTTGAACTTTGATTGGGTAATACATTGCACCAACACAGAATAGGTCATACGGCAACTTTCCAGCTTTACTGGTTGAGGAAGACCTCAAGTGCCCCTCCATGCATTATTTCAGGCACAAACCGGCCCTGAGTAGCACCACCGACATTCCTTAAGTTTGATTTCTTTTGTATAAAAAAAATGATACAAGGAGGTTAATCACTGTATTAGATAATGCCTAAATAAACGAAAATACTTTAATTCATGTACTTAAATATTATGTACTTCATCAATTTTAAAATGAATATATACATGTATAATTCATTATAAACCTGAATACATGTTAATGTTGATTATGATATCATTAATTAGAATATAAAACTTTGTTATCATATGTTAAATTGGTATTTAAGATTAGAGGAGCTGACAGTGATTGACATACAGTTTCTACATGACTGTACAACACCTACTGTAATACTTGTACACCAGGTAACCTTCACATTCTTCTCTATATACAAAATACAACTGAAGAAACTCTTGAATCTTTTCCTATCTATCAGTTTCATATGTAGTATAACAAATCAGTATTGAGTGAAATCTTGTTTTATTATAGCCCTTTTATGTTATATAGGAGATTGTAAAAATGCAATTTTGTAATAAAAATTTATATTAAAACATCAGGGATCATTCTAGGGGGCGATTTCCGCGATTTCTCGCAAAAAAATCACCAAAATCTCAGAGAAATTTGTGAAATGAGAGAAAATCTCGCACGGCAATTTGAGCCGGAAAATGTCTAATCACAACCTAAAGAATGCTAAAATCACACAAAAATATGATGAAAAATTTACGATTCCATTCAAGAATTTAATTTCAAATTGTTTATTAATGAAATCGGTGTAAAATACTCCAAAAAGTAGTCCACCACTTTAAATTATTTAGCCTAAAATAATTGCCGATCGGAGACCGCAAATTCACCATACAGAAATACGGTATGATCGCTATTGTAACCTTTATCTATCTGTAAGTCGAGAATTTACACATAACGCTTTTAATTGATTTAAATGAAAATTGTTTGACACAGACTAACATAAAAATGGACATGTCAAAACCAAATATCGGTAAAATAGCCTAAAATTTGTCTTCTAAATGTCACATCAACCACGGTTAATTTTGCCGTAAAAAACAAATTTAAAAATTTTGTTTTACGATTCTTGATGAAATAGCCAATAATAAATATTCTTTTATTGAACAAAAGTATTTAATTTTATGTAATTGCAATCAAAAACAGCTAGAATTGTGAATGTTTCAGCGGAAAACAGACAAATATTCATTTGTCACATATTTTCGCGATGTCGTGATTAAAAAAAAAATACTAAAAGGAAGCTGAGTGTTATTCAAAGGTGTTTAAAAACACTAAAAATGATGTTTATGAATAAAAAATACTTTAGGTATTGTTTATATTTGTCGATATGGAGATATTTGTCATTATGTGTTCAGGTCACATATTCAATGAACATTTTTTAATGGAGGGAGGTGTGTGAAGAGAATCATAAAGAAAAAAAAATGTAAGGTTATAAAAAATAGTCTTCAAATTTCAACAATCACTTCTGTACAGTACAGTGTTGTCCATTAGGAACATTGGCAGCAAATAATAGTTGTAGTAGATATCCATGTATAATTCTTTTATATTTCAGAATGAAAGTGTTTTATTTATTTTTCACAATAAGAATTTTATTATGTTTAAAAAATTCACAAAAGAAAAGGCATAGGGTGAATCAAAAAAGTGAAAACAAAAATCACTGTAATAAACAGAGCTACATCTATATCCTCATTAGATAAACAATGTTTATATGTACAGTGATTTTAAAAAGTTAGAAATTTCCATATTTTTAACCTCGCCCATCATGAAAATTAAATCTCTCAAGAAAATCTAATTTCTCTCATTAAAATTTCTCAAATGAGAGAAAATCTCTCACTAAAAATCCTGACCAGAATGATCCCTGAAACATGCTATACATGATCACAATGTAACTGTTAGTTTGCAGAATTTGTGTAAAGGATTTGCAATACATTGAATTTGGAACAGTCCATTTGAAGTGTTATGGTATTTCATTATCAAAATACAACCATTTTGGTACCACTAGTGTAGAGCTTGGTTATTCTGTACAGATGTGTAATCTAGCCACATCATAGTACATGCAAGTACAGACCGGCCTGGCTCTATACTTGCGGCAAAATTCTAATCACTTAGTTTCAGCAGGTAAACTGATATATTCAAATGCTTTTTGCAGTCCACTTATAAATCATAAACTATAAGTACATTACTAAACAGGATGGTTTTTACTTTCTTTTCCTGATTTCACCTATAACTCAACATTACTTATGTATTGCAGTTCCATCATTACTTATATACTTTGATTCAATATGTAGCACAATATGTTGTATTATGTTATCATATTTGTTGTAGGACCAGCATGGTCGACATGTTAAAACATACGAGATATCATTACGTGACAAAGATCTTAGTAAAGGGCCTTGGAAACAGGATAATGTTGAAACAGAAGCATGTATTCTTATTGCAGGTATTTTTTTTAATGTGTCATATTAAAAGAACCACATGCCAAGCAACTTACCTAAACTTAAATCTCAGATAACAACAGGCTTTGGTGTGAAATGCAGCCATATAGTTATAAATTCTTAGCAGTTATTCTGGGACTGGGAGCATATTGAAAGTCATTGGTTACACTCATTGCTTGACATTTTCTGCTACCACTGACTTTAGAAGTACACCAGATTCACAGTAGACCTTTATATTTAAGATGTTAATTTCAGTTCATTATGGCAAGTTATATACGGTGTGAATTGGAATAAATTCATTAACTTGTTTAGGATGTTGCTGACTGTTTTATATATTACAGTACCATCACCATTTGGAGGGGCACTAATAGTTGGGCAGGAGTCTATAACCTATCACAAGGGAGATCAGTTTATACCCATAGCACCTCCTGCTATAAAGGTAAAATTATCATAATCAGTTGTCATTGCAGTATCTCGTACACTTCCTGAACAGGTCAATGATTATCTGTTCTAGTCACTAAGGCTTAAGTGATATATATTTTTTTGACTTTGAGTAAAGTTTAATCAAAGTATTTTGCACATTATTTAAAAATCAAAGACTTAGTTTGTATGTTTCTAGCTAGTTTGCTTTTTGTAAGACCATATCTAAGATATTTCTAGTTTGACAGTCAAAAAGCTTTCCTTAATAGTAAAAGAGTGATGTTAAGAACTTCTTTATTCTTTCTATTCCCTGCGATTGTTTTCATGATTAATTGAAAATGTCTGACCCCAATTAACATTGACGAAAAAAGAAATATACTATTTTTTATAATTAGTTCATTTTTATATTCAATTTGCTGCAAAATGTGTTCAAATAATCATCTTGACATCCTAATGTTTCCTGATGTAAACAACATAGTACTATATTATATACATTTGTGTTTGCAGCAAAGTACAATAACATGCTGTGGTAAGGTAGATGCAAATGGACAAAGATATCTCCTGGGTGATATGAATGGTAGATTGTTCATGTTACTGTTAGAGAAAGAGGAAAAAATGGATGGTTCATCAACAATCAAAGATCTGAAAGTAGAACTCCTTGGTGAGGTAAGTATTATCATAACCTGTATAGTTGGACTTCTGGAAATTAGAAGTGATATAAATCCCTCCAACTCTTGAATACTGAAAGGAACAGGTCTACTCATGTTGGTTAACTGTTGTTAGATGATACATATCGTCAGTGGTCAGAGAGGAGGGGAGAGGTTTTTGCTTTTCAACGGTTCAAACAAAAAGCCAGATTGTAATTTATGTAAAAAAACAAAACAAAATAAAAAACATGAGAAATTTAATAGACTAAGCATACAAACTTATTAAAGGGGAATTGGTCTATTATGGAAAGTTTGTTAATACAATGAATCATAATTATATTGATAGTATTTAGTGTTAGACATAACAACAAACCACAAAATGATTATATACGGATGTTGTTGGCAAGTGTGAGACTACATATTATTTATATAGCACATAATATAATGTTTTAGAACAAAATGTTATTATTCATCATATAAAATGCTTATTCTAAATGATAAAAGAACTTAATTCAATTTTTTTTTCAAGCAACATTTTATAAGAATATCCAAATGCTACATTTCTTATGTTTTTATCAATATTTAGAATACTGATGGAAAATATGCCCTTTGTAAACCTAAGCACTTGAATTTTCAGACAAGTATTGCAGAGTGTATCACATATTTGGACAATGGTGTTGTTTATATAGGAAGTAGACTAGGTGACTCTCAACTCATAAAGGTAATGTTTTAAAAACGTTTTTAATTTTTTTATTTTTTATAAATATTAGTTTTAAATACCTGTATCTAACTTAGGTGCTTAATGCCTTAAAGACATATGCTAGGGTCACATATAGCAGATTGGAAATTACATAATAGAAGTTAATTTTGCTTTGCATGACCTTATATTACAAATATTTAAGCTTACTGACCTCGTTTTCGAGTTATCTGCTATTAATTTAAGAGAAAAATATTTTTATAAGTCATTTCAAGGTCAGATAAGTTGTACAAACTTTCGTAGAAAAATTGCATTGACATTTTTTTGTTCCCTTCATGCATTTTAAGTATATAGACCAAAAATTCTAAAAAAAAAGAAGAAAAAAAAGATGAAAATAGAAAAAATAAACATTGCTTATTGCCAATTTTATTCACGAAAAAAGAAAGTCATAAACAGCGTAAGGCTTTGTTGACCTTGAATAAGCAAAATTTTCAAATTCATTGGCAGATAAAAGGAAAACTCATTATCTTATTCTATTATCATATTCTAAGGCCATGTAATGTTTAAATTAATTCTATGAATGAAAACATCTCACATGTTTTGTAAATATGGAATGCTTGTTGCTTGTGGCACAGCTATTCAGTAGGGGCTTTTTGTTCAAGAATTGGCAATAAAAGATACTATTTCCAGTTAGGAATATGACCCAAAATTGGAAATTAGTTTGGCCAAAAAAACCCTATTTATTGCTGATAGAACTGCTGAATATCTGTTTGACTGATTGTGTATAACTTTGTGTCCCATTGATGTAGATGTATTACTTATAAGCCCCACCTACTAACCTGATCTAAACATGCCACGCACTGTATCAAATCAGTTAATAAATGATAGTTCAGACATGTAACTTCTCTATAGAAAATATAACTTGTAAGTGAGTGTAATATAGGTTGTATAAATAATGATTAATATTTTTAGTTAAACATTACACCAGATGAGCAAGGTTCCTATGTACAGGTGATGGAGACATTTACAAACCTAGGTCCTATAGTTGATATGTGTGTTGTTGATCTGGAAAGACAAGGCCAAGGACAGGTGAACATCTCTTATTTTATCTGTTAAAATGCAATTACTTCTTTACATATATTACATGTGGATAAAAATATTGACAGTTGTATGGCGCTCACATTTATCAAACTTGATATGGTCATCAAAATCTTGAAGTTTATACTAAGCTGTACTAGAGGTGTTCATTAAAATAAATTTTTTTTAAATAAATTCACATTGAAGTTATAAATCGAAGAGTATGATGTATGATAAAATACAAAAAAAATGTCAAAATTTTATAAAAACATAAACATCATTTGTGTGAAAATCGTTTATTATGTTTCAAATTGAGTGGAATGTTTTATTGTTTTTTCCCCTTTAGTTGGTGACATGTTCCGGGGCATATAAAGAAGGATCTCTAAGAATTATAAGAAATGGTATAGGTATTCATGAACATGCAAGCATTGATCTTGTTGGTATTAAAGGTTTGTAGCTCTCTATTTTCTTACAATAATTTCTTAAATCATGATTAACCTTAAAACCTGCTGAATTTATGTGATGAATCTGCTCTACACATCTCCTGGATCTTATCCTGCTTAAGATTTTCTGTCATATAAGGTAGCCATCAGACTAGCTTGTAGAAGAAAACTGTGTTCAGAGCTTCACCCTTACATGAAATCATGCCTGTTGGGACAAGATATAAGCTTAATATTTGTCTCCAGATTCATGCTATTTTTCATGAAAGTTTTTGAAAAAGTAAACATATTTGAAGTAATTTTCAAATGCAAACGGCACTTACAATCCACATAAATTTATAGAAATAATTTGTATTGTACATGTATATTGTATGCACTGTGTATGGGCCGGAGGCCTTTTGTACAACAAAAGCTATTGAATTGAACTGAATCAAGTTTAATCTTCTTGAAATATTTTTGCTCGTCTGGAGGCATGCAACTTTTAAGCCAAGGATACAAATCAACCTAGCAGTAAAAAACTTTGTTTTATTAAGTTATTTTGTTAATATTGTGAACCTTCAACAATAGTATACATAGTTTGGTGTAAATTATCTAATAAAGTATATTGATTTATCTCTGCAGGTATATGGTCACTACAGGTAGATTCAGAACGCTATGATAACATGCTTGTACTATCTTTTGTTGGACAAACAAGGTAAATATACTATCTTGATATGTACATTTTCAGAGTTTTACAGTTAACTGATATATTTGCAGAAGTGTACAGTTAGATGGTATAATTTCAGAGTTTTACAGTTACCTAGTATATTTTCAGAATTGTACAGTTAACTGATATATTTTCAGAATTGTACAGTTAACTGATATATTTTCAGAGGTTTACATTTAAGTAGTGTATCTTCAGAATTCTACAGTTAAGTGGTATATTTTCAGAGGTTTACATTTAAGTGGTATATCTTCAGAATTGTATAGTTAACTGATATATTTTCAGAGGTTTACATTTAAGTAGTATATCTTCAGAATTGTACAGTTAAGTGGTATATTTTCAGAGGTTTACATTTAAGTAGTATATCTTCAGAATTGTACAGTTAAGTGGTATATTTTCAGAGGTTTACATTTAAGTGGTATATCTTCAGAATTGTATAGTTAACTGGTATATTTTCTAAGGTTAACATTTAAGTAGTATATCTTCAGAATTGTACAGTTAAGTGGTATATTTTCAGAGGTTTACAGTTAACTGATATATTTTCAGAGTTTTACAGTTAACTGGTATATTTTCAGAGTTTTACAGTTAACTGGTATATTTTCAGAGTTTTACAGTTAACTGGTATATTTTCAGAGTTTTACAGTTAACTGGTGAAGAAGTAGAGGAAACAGAAGTTTCTGGCTTCAACTCTGAGCAACAAACTTTCCTGTGTGCTAATGTGTTTGGTAACCAAATAGTGCAGGTATATATCTTGAAATCATTTCTATGATAATAAACAAAACTTGAAGCTCTGCTGTAAAGAAACATGTAAAGTCTGTTGTAGGTATAATGTTATTAGATGGGGAACTTAAAATATACTGATGAAGTGGTATTTTACTCACTGTTTCAAGTAGACACTACCATCTATATAAATGAAAGGTTTTAGATGGTGATGCTGAAATCATGCATTTACATGCTCTTATTTGAAATATCTGAAATCTATTTAAATTCCTTTCATTTTGTGGAATATTTATTTCTTAAGCTATTTTAGATAATATTCATTGTTGTTATGTACAGTTTGGTGATACATCATCAACAAATACAGCAATAAGTTGGAAAAGAATATTTTAAATTTACACTGAGGCACACAATGAAGTTGCCTCCACCTTGATAAACTTTTCTTTTATTAGATTGTTCCAATCAGAATTAATTTCAGACTTGGTTCGTCGGACTAGATTTTAAATATGATATCAATGCTAGCTATATCATTTTTGTAACAGATTTGATATATCTTCATTATGAAGTTAATGAATTTCATTAATTGATTATTATCACATTACACGTTACATGATTGTTTCAGATAACTCCACCAGCTGTTAGATTAATCAACACAGCAACGAAGAAGTTGGTGAGTGAATGGTCGCACCCTGGGGGTAAGAATATCTCCCTGGGTAGTTGTAACCATACACAGGTTGTTGTAGCCGCTGGTAGTGAACTGTTCCTCTTAGAAATACAAGCTGGAGAAATCAAACAAGTTAGGTACTATAATATAAACAACAGCTATTGTTGTAATCATTTAAGGTGTTTTATCAATAACTATCCTTTGTAGAAAATTACTAAGAAGTTTGATAATAGTAAAGTTTGATATTTCTTACCTTTGTCAATATGTGGAAGTGGATTTTTTTACTCCGTTACTTGATTTTGAATACTGCTTGGGATAATGCTTGGACAGACATGTAAGGTTTTCCTTCACCTGGTCAGACATTCTCTCCTGTTTAGTATTTTGAATGAATAATTTTTTTTTTGGTTAGATTACCTTTATAAAGACTTGACCATTATATACCATCAGTATTAATTTATGACTTTTTTGTGAACAGTACAACAGTAGTAGAGCATGAGATAGCTTGTGTAGACATTACACCACAAGTTGAGGGACAGAACAAATCAGACATTGTTGCTATAGGATTGTGGACAGATATCTCTGCCAGGATATTAAAGCTACCATCATTTGAGAGTCTTCATGTAGAAATGCTTGGGGGAGGTTTGTTCAATTAGCTCTCATATTCTTTGAATTTCTACTTTGGAATATTTACTATCATTATAAACAGAAATGTTACTTATATAGAATTTATGGTATGATGGCAGCTTGCTAACATGTCGGCCTTGGATTTCAACATTAGTTTGGGTTCATTTTATAAAACTTCTTCATTTGTTTAGTAATGATCATGGGTAGGATTAACTTTACTAAGGCTTTACTCTCCTGAAGGGAAGGTAATCTATTTAGATCCTTTATAAACAAAAAAATTAGTGTTTTTATATTTGTGAAAATTTCACATAAGTTTGTATGGTTTATATTTGATAATATTAAAATTTGATATCCAGACATGTTGACATTTAGCTCCTTCTTGAAACTTTAAGTTTAATGTTAAAGTTAAGACTTATCATATATATATTAATTTTTTTTCAGAGATTATTCCGAGGTCAATATTGATGACAACATTTGAAGGAATACATTATTTACTGTGTGCACTAGGCGACGGGTCACTGTTTTACTTTCACCTCAACATACATACTTGTAATTATAATGCTTCATTTATAAAATGATTAACTTGCTGGAGTATTATAACAGTAGGTGGAAGTAATACTTATGCATGGCCTTGTTGATGTTAATATATAAGCATAATTTGCATGGTGGTATTTATACCCCCAAAAACGAAGTTTGGGGGGGTATATAGGACTCACCCGGTGGTCGGTCGGTCGGTCGGTCGGTCGGTCCAGACGTCCGTTGCATTTTCCTTGTCCGGAGCATAACTTGAAAACTAATGGTTGGAATTCAATATAACTACATACAATGGTCAAGCACATTGAGAGGAAGTGCAGTGCACAAGAACCATAACTCTATCTTGACTAATTACAGAGTTATTGCCCTTTGTTACTTTTCCTTGTCCGGGGCATAACTTGAAAACTACTGGTTGGAATTCAAAACAGCTTCATACAATTGTCAAACACAATAAGGGGACGTGCAGTGCACAAGAACCATAACTTTATCTAAAGTAATTACAGAGTTATTGCCCTTTGTTGCTTTTCCATTGCTTTTTTTTTGTCCGTTGTATTTTCCTTGTCCGGAGCATAACTTGAAGACTAATGGTTGGAATTCAATATAACTACATACAATGGTCAAGCACATTGAGAGGAAGTGCATAAGAACCATAACTCTATCTTGACTAATTACAGAGTTATTGCCCTTTGTTACTTTTCCTTGTCCGGGGCATAACTTGAAAACTACTGGTTGGAATTTAAAACAACTTCATACAATTGTCAAACACAAAAAGGGGAAGTGCAGTGCACAAGAACCATAACTCTATCTAAAGTAATTACAGAGTTATTGCCCTTTGTTGCTTTTCAATTGCCTTCTTTTTTTTGTCCGGAGCATAACTTGAAGACTAATGGTTGGAATTTAATATAACTACATACAATGGTCAAGCACATTGAGAGGAAGTGCAGTGCATAAGAACCATAACTCTATCTAAAGTAATTACAGAGTTATTGCCCTTTATTAGTTTTCCATTGCTTTCTTTTGTCAGGACCATAACTTGAAGACTAATTGTTGCAATTCATTATAACTTCATACAATGGTCCAGCACATTGAGAGGAAGTGCAGTGCACAAGAACCATAACTCCATTTTGACTTATTACAGAGTTACTGCCCTTTGTTTCTTTTCCTTGTCCAGAGCATGACTTTAAAACTACTGGTTGGAATTCAAAACAACTTCATATAATGGCCAAGCACAATAAGGGGAAGTGCAGTGCACAAGAACCATAACTTCATCTTGACTAATTACAGAGTTATTGCCCTTTGTTACTTTTCCATTGCTTTCTTTTGTCCGGACCATAACTTGAAGACTTATTGTTGGAATTCATTATAACTTTATACAATGGTCAAGCACATTGAGAGGAAGTGCAGTGCATAAGAACCATAACTCCATCTTGACTAATTACAGAGTTACTGCCCTTTGTTACTTTTCCTCGTCCAGAGCATGACTTGAAAACTACTGGTTGGAATTCAAAACAACTTCATACAATGGTCAAGCACAATAAGGGGAAGTGCAGTGCACAAGAACCATAACTCCATCTTGACTAATTACAGAGTTATTGCCCTTTGTTACTTTTCCTTGTCCAGAGCATAACTTGAAAAATACTATTTGGAATTCAGTACAACTTCATACAGTTGTCAAGGACATTCAAAGGAAGTGCAGTGCACAAGAGCCATAACTCCATTTTGACAAAATACAGAGTTACTTCCCTTTGATACTTTTCCTTGTCCGGAGCATAACTTAAAACGTATTGGTTGGAATTCAAAACAACTTCATACAATGGTCAAGCACAATAAGAGGAAGTGCAGTGCACAAGAACTATAACTCTATCTTCAGTATTTATAGAGTTATTGCCGTTTGTTCTTTTTCTTTGTCTTTCTGGACTTATTACAGAGTAATTCAATTAAACTTCATCAATGGCCAACCACATTGAAAGGAAATGCAACACAACCATAACTCTATGTTTCAATTCTTTTACAAGGTATTCTGTTACTAGTAACATCCTCATTTCCGAAGCAGACTTGTGGGGGTATTAATCACATTTAGTGATAGTTCTAGTTTAATTTACAAAAGATAAATTTTTCAGTGGCAAGTAAAGTTTTGATAGAAGGCTATCCATTACATAGTGGTTATATCTCTGTAATTGTTGGGTATTGGCCTGAGCTCATATACTAACAATTGATCAATACTTAATTGGTACTTTTTTAAGCACCTGCTTTGACAATATATTAATTTGGGACTTGTTATAAGAGTATAAACTATTTTAAAGAATTTACTCCATTGGTGTCACTCAATAACATTCAGTGACTTACCTGTATTAAATCTTCAACCAAAACTGTAAACTGTGTTATGTTATTTCAGGTTATCTAACGGACAAGAAGAAGGTAACCCTCGGCACACAGCCTACAGTACTGAGGACATTTAAGTCTTTATCAACTACCAATGTATTTGCCTGCTCGGACAGACCTACTGTGATATATTCCAGCAACCATAAACTTGTCTTCTCTAATGTCAACCTAAAAGAGGTCAACCATATGTGCCCTTTAAACTCTGAGGGATATCCCGACAGGTACGTGAAGAGGGTAACACAGACTTTTTAAAAAGAAAACAACAAAAATATCCAATGTTGAAAAGAAACAAAAACCAAAAGTGTACCTAGTGATTCTTTTTCAAGTTTTCTCAGTAATATATTTTCAAAAAAATATTTGAGAAGTGTTGATTACCTGTTACCAAAACAGAATATTATTATTTAAAAATTTAAATTTCTATTTTATCAGCTGTGAAAAATTGTGTTACATTTATTAAAACAAGCGTCTTTTTACATGGATCATTAAGTTAAGTTGTAAATCTATATTGGAAGCATATTACTAGTAATTAAAATTGATATTTTCCTTTTGATTTTTCCGGTATACTTTCATTTATTGTAAATATCTGTTAAAATATAAGATCGTATATTTTAACCTTGTTTGTTTATTTCATATTTCTAGTTTGGCAATTGCAAATGATAACACTTTAACAATTGGAACTATAGATGAAATACAGAAATTACACATTAGAACTATTCCCCTTGAGGAATCTCCCAGGTTTGTAGTTTTCTTGAGCCTCAAATGCATATGCTTTTGTATGGAATTAGTTTTATTTTGTATTTGATTGTTAATCTTAAAATGTTTAGTTGATTGTGAATATTGCCTCTGACTGCTGTAGGTTCAATCAGGGCAAGCATCATCATATTCAGTACATGAGAAAGCTGTCCAGCTACCTTACAGAACATCAGTGGTTCTACTCCATTGCCAGTTTGTGCCTGAAATCCTGAAATAACGTACAGTTAGGCATCCAAGTATTTCTACACCAGTACAGCTGGAAAGTCACCATATGATCTATACTGGGTTGTTCCGATGTAAAGCCCAAACAAACAAAAAAAATGATTAATATAAATAATTTCTGTACCTTTTTAGCTCACCTGTCACAAAGTGACAGGGTGAGCTTTTGTGATCGCTTTTCGTCCGGCGTCCGTCCGTCGTCCGTCCGTCCGTAAACTTTTACTTTAAATGACATCTTCTCATAAACCACTAAGCCAATTTCATCCAAACTTCACAGGAATGTTCCTTTGGTGGTCACCTTTAAAAATTGTTCAAAGAATTTAATTCCATGCAGAACTCTGGTTGCCATGGCAACCGAAAGAAAAAACTTTAAATATCTTCTTTTAAAAAACCATAAGAGCTAGAGCTTAGATATTTGGCATGAAACATCTTCTAGTGAGTGTCTACCAAGTTTGTTCAAATAAAAGCCCTGGGGTCAAAATTGGCCCCGCCCCGGGGGGTCATTGATTTTCCCTATATACATATAGTAAAAACTTAAAAATCTTCTTTTAAAGAACTCAAAGAGCTATGGCTAAGATATTTAGCATGAAACATGTTCTAATGTGTGTCTACCAAGTTTGTTCAAATAAAAGCCCTGGGGTCAAAATTGGCCCCGCCCCGGGGGGTCATTGATTTTCCCTATATGCATATAGTAAAAACTTAAAAAAATTTCTTTTAAAGAACCAAAAGAGTTAAAGCTAAGATATTTAGCATGAAACATCTTCTAATAAGTGTCTACCAAGTTTGTTCAAATAAAAGCCCTTGGGTCAAAATTGGCCCCGCCCCGGGGGGTCATTGATTTTCCCTATATACATATAGTAAAAACTTAAAAAATCTTCTTTTAAAAAACCATAAGAGCTAGAGCTTAGATATTTGGCATGAAACATCTTCTAGTGAGTGTCTACCAAGTTTGTTCAAATAAAAGCCCTGGGGTCAAAATTGGCCCTGCCCCGGGGGGTCATTGATTTTCCCTATATACATATAGTAAAAACTTAAGAAATCTTCTTTTAAAGAACCAAAAGAGCTATAGCTAAGATATTTAGCATGAAACATTTTCTAATGGGTGTCTACCAAGTTTGTTCAAATAAAAGCCCTGGGGTCAAAATTGGCCCCCCGGGGGGTCATTGATTTTCCCTATATGCATATAGTAAAAACTTAAAAAATCTTCTTTTAAAGAACTCAAAGAGCTATTGCTAAGATATTTAGCACCAAACATGTTCTAATAAGTGTCTACCAAGTTTGTTCAAATAAAAGCCCTTGGGTCAAAATTGGCCCCGCCCCAGGGGGGTCATTGATTTTCCCTATATACATATAGTAAAAACTTAAAAAATCTTCTTTTAAAGAACCAAAAGAGCTAGAGCTAAGATTTTTAGCATGAAACATGTTCTAATAAGTGTCTACCAAGTTTGTTCAAATAAAAGTCCTGGGGTCAAAATTGGCCTGCCCCGGGGGGTCATTGATTTTCCCTATATGCATATAGTAAAAACTTAAGAAATCTTCTTTTAAAGAACCAAAAGAGCTACAGCTAAGATATTTAGCATGAAACATGTTCTAATGGGTGTCTACCAAGTTTGTTCAAATAAAAGCCCTGGGGTCAAAATTGGCCCCGCCCCGGGGGGGGGGGGGGTCATTGATTTTCCCTATATGCATATAGTAAAAACTTAAAAAATCTTCTTTTAAAGAACTCAAAGAGCTATGGCTAAGATATTGAGCATCAAACATGTTCTAATAGGTGTCTACCAAGTTTGTTCAAATAAAAGCCCTGGGGTCAAAATTGGCCCCACCCCAGGGGGTCATTGATTTTCCCTATATGCATATAGTAAAAACTTAAAAAATCTTCTTTTAAAGAACCAAAAGAGTTAAAGCTAAGATATTTAGCATGAAACATGTTCTAATAAGTGTCTACCAAGTTTGTTCAAATAAAAGCCCTGGGGTCAAAATTGGCCCCGCCCCGGGGGATCATTGATTTTCCCTATATGCATATAGTAAAAACTTAAAAAATCTTCTTTTAAAGAACTCAAAGAGCTATGGCTAAGATATTTAGCATCAAACATGTTCTAATAGGTGTCTACCAAGTTTGTTCAAATAAAAGCCCTGGGGTCAAAATTGGCACCGCCATGGGGGTCATTGATTTTCCTTATATGTGTATAGCAAAAACTTAAAAAATCTTCTTTGAAAAAACACAAATAGCTAGAGTTAAGATATTAAGCATGAAACATCTTTTAGTGAGTGTCTACAAAGTTTGTTCAAATAAAAGCCCTGGGGTCAAAACTGGTCCGGCCCCAGGGGTGTCATTGTTTTTAACTATATGTGTATAGTAAAAACTTTAAAAAAATCTTCTTTCAAAAAGCCCAATGAGCTAGAGCCTAGATGTTTAGCATGAAACATCTTCTTATGGGTGTCTACCGAGTTTGTGCAAATAAAAGCCCTTGGGTTAAATTGGCCCTGCAACGTTGGGGTGGGGGTTGGGGGGCCTATATACAGGTGAGCGACCTCAGGGCCATCATGGCCCTCTTGTTTTTATTTTGCTTCCAAAAAATTCTTGTTCAGATGACAATTCATACAGCTGCCAAATTTATCAAAAGGCCAAGTCTGGGTCCAGCCAATTCTGTACCATATAATAACAAGTTCTACAACTTTGCATAGTACCAAAAGCAGTAGAATAAATTATGCTCCTTTGCAGAGCGTAACTCTATGTATGATTATAAGATTTGGTTGATGACTCTAGGTCTAATGTCAGGTGAATCCATAAAAGTATTTTACATGATAGTCTGTTGAAAATGTAAATAAAATACAGTGAAAAGATCTAGTAATATATTGTTTTATATATAACAGGAGGATAGCATACCAGGAGTCCTCTCAGACATTTGGTGTGATCTCAATGAGAATGGATGTACAGGACGGTTCAACCACCGCGCCAACACGAACCAGTGCCAGCACTCATGCCTCCTCGACATCAACTAGCAACAATTCTAAGATGGTTTCCACGGGAACCAGTATGATCGGAGAACATTCGTTCGGAGATGAGGTTGAAGTTCACTCGCTTCTAATTATAGATCAACACACATTTGAAGGTAAGGATCAAGATTTTACTTGTACCTTTTGAAAGAGGCTTTTTTAAAAAATGTCCCTATCTCTGTAATTTGCAGAATATTTCATGTTAATTATTAAATATCTCATCAATTAAATGAAAATCAAGGCCATGTTTGACTCATATTTTCGCAATCATTTAACAATAAAATTGTAATAGAAAAGCAAGATGTCTAAAGGCAGGGCTGCAGTTGATTGCAATTGATATTTTATTAGGAACTGTATATTGTTATTTGTTTACTTTAAACTGATTTATTTTAGTTTGATTGTGTTGAACGCTACATGTATCAACTTCTTAAACCTGTAACACCAACCAGCACTAAGCAATGAGTGTAAAGTTTCTGTTCACGGAAACAACAGCTTGCCCTTGACATGATATGATATGCAATTCCAAGATTACTAGTCTGACACATTAACCACTCAGCCACTCATATATTGTTGCTGAACTATAGATAAATTGTGTTTTCAGTGCAAGCACATAATGTGTCAAAACTTGTCATTGTAGAATTGATAGATCCCTACTCTGATCTTTTATTTGAATAATTCTAGATTTAACCACAAACATTGACATGTGCACTTTTATTAGTCCCCTACCGGTTTACCGGAGGGGACTTTAGGTTTACTCTCCGTCCCTCTGTCTGTCTGTCCGTCCGTCTGTCCTTCCGTCCGTCCGTCAGTCCGTCCGTCCACAAAACTGGATCTGGTGATAACGCAAAAAGTACTGTAAATATTTGAATGAAACTTGATATATGGATAGAGGGCAGTATGGAGATTATGCACGTCTTTTTCTTTTCTTCCTATGTTGAAAATTCTGGTTGCTATGGCAACAAATAGACTGAAAATATGGCAAATTTTACACATAACCTGGATCCCGCGATTACGCAAAAGTACTGAAAATATTTTTATGAAACTTGATATATGGATAGATGGCAGTATGGAGATTATGCACGTCTTCTTCTTTTCTTCCTATGTTGAAAATTCTGGTTGCTATGGCAACAAATAGACTGAAAATATGGCAAATTTTACACATAACCTGGATCCAGTGATAACACAAAAAGTACTGAAAATATGTTTATGAAACTTCACATATGGGTAGATGGCAGTATGAAAATTATGCACATCCTTTTCTTATCTTCCTATGTTGAAAATTTTGGTTGCTATGGCAACAAATAGACTGAATTTCAAGATTTCTGATTCTAGTTTTTAAAGTTTTTCACTATAAGTTCTTTATTTCTTCAGGTATTTTCTTCAAACTTTAAATATAAGTTGCTTGTCATCAACCACATCATATGTGACAAGGTTTACAACTCTAGCACAAAATTTATCAGAATGACCTCCCTTGAACTTAAAATTTTCATGAAAAAAACATTTTTTTTTTTTTGAATAACTTCTTTTTCTGAATGTATCTGCTTCAAACGTCATATAAATGTTTCTTATTATCACTCAACATTTGTGAGTGTTCAATACTCTAGCAAGACTAATTCCAGAATTATGCCCCTTTTGAACTTAGACTTTTTTTTGAGAAATTGGTAATTTTTACTCCAACTTCTTCAATCATGATAGGATTTTAAAAATGTTATATTTTGATAACAGGGATGTTTAAAAAATAACTTTAGAGTGTCCTTCAGTCTGTCTGTCTGTACATAAAAACTGTTTCCTGTGATCACTTTTAAAGAACTTTTTCAACAAATTTACTTAAAATAGGAACATAAGTGAATGGCCAATGGCCCTTCAGAATGTTGCTTGGGCTCTTACCGGTAGGGGACTTATGGATTGCTTGCAATACTATGATAATTGCTTGTTAACAAATATGTTGTGGTGAAATTCTTATTGTATCCTCTAATCTGATAATAAGAAATATACAGGTCAGGGAAATATACATTTATGTAGATCTGCACTGTAAATCAGCATGTGGGTTTATATTTAACAAATAATTATGAAAATTGTGTTATTACAGTGTTACACGCTCATACGTTGCTGCAGAACGAGTTTGCTACTAGCCTGATCTCAGCTAAACTAGGAGATGATCCTAATACATATTATATTGTTGGTACAGCCATGGTCAACCCTGAGGAGGCAGAACCTAAACAAGGGAGAATTATTGTCTTCCACTGTCAAGATGGTAAATTAATCAAGTAGTTATATTTTTTTAGGATAATTTCATGGAAGAAAATGATGACAATTGATATCCTTAAAATTTGGAGAGTTTAACTTTATAAATTAAACCAACGTTGATCAGGAATAATTGTTTTTGTCACAGAAAAGATATTTAAAATGTGCCAATCAATTATTTAAAGACAAAAATTAATATATATTTAAATTTGAAATGTTGTTGAGAAAAAGTGGTTATTAAATAGACAATTTGTTGAAGGTTAGATATTTTGCTTGTTTAATGCCACTATCTCACTATAGAATAAAAGTCACCACATGACTGCTCTTATTCAATGAAGAAAACTGAATTTAGTGGTAGATGAAATAAATAGTTCTATTTTCTACAAAGGGCATAATGGTTTTTTGAAGTCAACTTTTCATAGTAAGTTTAATGCAGTAAAACCAGGCCTTAAAATTGATTTGGCAGCTGTATGAATGATCAGATTACATGTCTCATATATTTAAGATAGACCTATCAGGAAAATTTTGGTCTCAATGCATTGATCAGTAACAGATCTTAACAGTTATCATGTGACCTGAAACCCAAGTAAAATATAAATTGTGACATTTTCAGGAAAGGTGACACAGATAGCTGAGGAGGAGATAACAGGGGCTGCCTATACATTGTGTGAGTTTAATGGGAAATTACTGGCCAGTGTTAACAGTACTGTAAGTATATTATATATACCATGCTGAAGTTTTCAACTGTTTTAGTTAAATTATTTTTGTTATCAGTATTCTCAATACTGATTTTGAATTTACTAATATAAAAAAATGGTTTTGAACAAACTTAAAGTAGCAGAAAGTAATACTTCAAAATCAGCTTTGAAAAGGTTTTATATGATGTGAATCTTTCACATTTTATACTTATATAAAATCACTATGTTGTTTGGTATATTTTTTTTCTGAAAGAACTGTTTTAACTGAATGAAATCATTGTGGGTTAATAAAATGCATGAACTTTCATGTTATGTGTATATAAATTTTCAGAAAGTATTAAAGAGTATTTTTGTTAGTAAGAAATTGTTATTGTTATAAACTGTATTTTTAATGGTAATTAAATACATAGTACAATCATATTTTCAGGTACGACTGTTTGAATGGCGTACAGCGGAGAAAGAGTTAAAGTTAGAATGCTGTCATTATAATAATATCATAGCCTTGTATCTGAAGACTAAAGGAGATTTTATACTGGTTGGAGACTTGATGAGATCTATCACATTGTTGTTATATAAATCCATGGAGGGTACTTTTGAAGAGGTAAGATTTTTTGCTCTCCACCTACGATCTTGAATTCTTCATAGGACGAAGCTATCCAGTTAGTTCACAGAAAATCTGTAGTTTTACTCAGGTGACTGAAATAATGGACTTAAATTTTCAAGCAGCCTTTAGACCTTCATAGTTTTGAACTTTAGACCAAGTCAAACAAAGCAAAAGTTCTCTTACTTGCAGGTTTTATACTGTTATAGCTGTGATAAAGTTTAATTAACTACCCATCTCTGTACTTTTATACTAAACTGACTAGATTTAAGACCTAATAGCAGTTCTTGGTTCTACTGTACTTTAGTTTCTTATGTATTAAAGCTAGCAGTAAAAAAAAGCAATCATAAATTCTTCACACAAAAACCAACAGAAATTCTTTACAACAAGAAATAATTTTTCTTTTTCTGACTATGTTTAGTGGCATATAAAAAAATATAAGAACCTGAAATGAAATAATGATAAAGAAATAAAAAAGAAATGTATACTTTTAGATATATCAACAGATATACTGTTTTATAATATAAAATTTTATAAAAAAAAATAAAGTGTTTGTATGTATATATATGTGACAGTTTTGTTATTTCAGATTGCTAGAGATTGCAATCCAAATTGGATGACAGCTGTAGAAATCCTTGATGATGATATATTCCTGGGAGCTGAAAATAGCTTTAATTTGTTCACATGTCATAAAGACAGGTAAGTCATTATTTACATGTGATAAAGACAGGTAAATAATTTGTTCACATGTGATAAAATCAGGTAAATAGTTGCATTTTAAAAAATTGCAGAGTATATATACTACAAGTATATGAAGCATTTGAACTGCTATTTGACTGTTTTAAGTTCTAATTTTAAAGATGATTTTTAAGACCAACAAAAAAATTCTCCCAAAAGTTGAGAATTCATTGCAAAATGTGATTTATTCTTTAAACTGGATGATAAAAATTTGACCCAAAAACATAGCAGAAGTTGTTGTCTAATGTTTTTGAACATTTGATTATTATAAGCATAAATGATTGTTATATGTTATTTCTCTGGTTGTCTGTTTGTCTATTTCATAATTAACTATTTCATGACTGATCTTTTGAATCCCTGTCAAACTTAAATGATACTTTAGCCAAAAGTTTATAAGACAGCATAAAGAAGCTGGGTTTCAGCTGCCTACTTTCAAAGATATTGTCACAGATTAAAATCAGAAAAGGTTAAAGCCAGCAAATTGTGTTAGCTCTTTAGCTTTTGCACTTCTAGAAAGATGCTGTAGATACTCTGGTCTGATATTTATCTAGTTGAGACAATATTATACAAAACTCATATATCAGACTCCTAACGTTTAGATCAATGTGATCACAGTAATAGGTCATTTGTTGGAGCTAGCAATGTCTGGTCAGCTATTCTAACTTTTGAACATTTTGAGGGATATTGACAACACTTTGTTCCAATGTTTATCTCTTAAGATGATGCATGAGCCCCTTTAGGGACCCAAATTTAAGGTCAAGGTAACAGTTAGAGGTCAAATAACTCACAGTCTTAGACTTTTCCAAAGAATATCATAAAACAAGATATTCATTGTAATTCTTGTTGTTTTATTTTCATGAATACAGAATGTATTTCACTTTAAATTTATTTATCACTTTATGCAACAGAATATTTGAAATTTCATATTTTTCACTCATACTTCCTCTCAAATTTTTCTTATACAGTGCTGCAACAACTGATGAGGAAAGACAAAATTTACAAGAAACAGGGTTGTTCCACCTTGGTGAATTTGTAAATGTGTTTAGACATGGTAAGCTTATCTCATTTTACTTTAATATGTGTTGAAAAAGGTTTAGTTGTTTAACCCTTACAATGATAAATTTCTTATATGAACTTCTCCATTCTTCATTCTGGACAAAACTATTCATTATTTGTAGGAAAAGTTTCAAAATTTTTACAGCTTGAGTAGGTAGCAGTGCAGACCATGATTTCACCACGGCACAGATGTGTGGACTGGTCTTGGTCTGCACTGGTGGAATGGGAAAAACAGTGAGGCAGCAGGGAAAGGGTTAAAGACATTTTCATTTTAGAGTTCTTTTACCACAGTTATGCCTGCTTGTTTGTTAAGCCAAAAAAATATATTGATCAAAATTATTTGATTTTTATATATCAGAAAAAAAAATCAAATCAGTTATTATAATCAATTAATTATAAACAGTTTAAAGGTTTCTTGGTACTTAAATTTTTTTAAAGTTTTTAGTTGCTTGATGAAAAAAAGCACTGGTACAGAATCCAGATACTGTTGCCCAGTAAATTGTTTGACTGACACATAATGCTTCTTAAATCAAACAAAATTTCTCAATCTGTTATGGATACAGAGGTATTTTGTATATTCAGGTTCGTTGGTCATGCAGCATTCATTTGAGAGTAGTACACCAACACAGGGTTCTGTCTTGTTTGGTACAGTCAATGGTGCAGTGGGTATGTATGTCCTGTATAGTTACCTGTTAAATCTTTGTTATAATATTACATGAACAAGAAATATACTATTTATTTTGAAGTGGTCAGGAAAGTCTACAATATTGACAAGAAAAACTGTTATGCCCCTTACAATTAAGATTTAATTTTTCATAATTCCTGTATAACTTACTTTTTTCAGTTTATTTGATTAAAATAAAAATGCCAAACACTTCATATTGAATGATACATTTAATTTCATTTATTGTTCTCTTGAGAACAATTCCAAAACAAAATTGTCTGGTTTTAGAGATTATCTCTGCAATACTGTATAAGTGGTTAAGTTAGCGATACAGAAATATCAGTGAATTTCAAAAATTGACGAAAATTGCTTAAAATTGCCTCTAGCATAAATATCAATCAATCTGTCATTAAATTCTACCTTTGCACAATTTGCTAGTATTTCCTAAAGTGAAATGTCTGGAATTTATTATTTGCTAATTTGTTGATGTGCGTAAATATCCACTTATACAGTAAAACTTAAATTTGATATTTTCTTAGACTTGTTTTAAAATTTATTAATGATTGACTGTTGGATGTAGAAAGTTGCAGTGTGTATGTTGGAATCGTAAGCTGTCTTCATTTTATTATTTTAAACACAGGTCTAGTTACACAGTTACCACCAGATTTCTACCATTTCTTACAAGATGTACAAGGGAGGTTGGCTAAAGTTATCAAAAGTGTCGGCAAAATAGACCATTCATTGTATCCTTTCAAATGATGTTCCTTATTCTGATTGTTATATTATAACATTAAAGACATTGACAGGTAAGAATATCTGTACTGGACCCAGACTGCTTTCATGTTGGCGAGTTAACATAATCTTGTGTTTTTCTTTCCATGAATTTCTGACAAGTTATTATTATCATATTATAGCATTTGAGTGTTTAACACCGATTGTTTTACAGGGTAAAACTAATAAATGGCATTGGATATTTAGAATATTAAGATTGAACTGCTAACAGTGTAAGGTGGATACCTACTGCTCATATACAAGTTCATTGGCTGCTTTAAATTTATGGCATATATATATATATATATCAACATTGTTCAAAGTAAACAAATGGTATTTCTTTTTGCTAAAACTAACTTACTAAACAAAGGTAAGAAATATGTTGTGTAGACGATGTTATAGAGAACACAAACAGTAAATAAGAATGACCTTAACTATACATCAGCTGGCGTTCATTTCACACCGAGCGTAAGACCGAAGTCTGTACAGGATTTATTGATGGCGACCTTATTGAAAGTTTCCTTGATCTCTCCAGAGAAAAAATGGCAGAAGTTGTACAAGGTTTACAGGTATGTTGAAAAAAATACAAGAAAAAAACTTAAATGAATTTTCTATTTTGATCTTGTAATACAAAACACTACTTCAACAATTCATTTGTATTTTATTTGATGTAGATGAAATAATAAAAGCTGAGTAAATTCTTGCCTGAAATTACCCCAGAGGTATATAATTAGAAACAGAGATATTGTCTTATCAAACTGTCTTTTAAAATAACATTAATTTTGGCTGAAGGCTTACACTAATAACATGTAGATAACTGTTACAGAGTAATGACAAAGGTTGTCGATGTTAGTTACATACAAGACTTAAAACTAATTTTTGTACCAAATCCATCAAGTACTGTTTGTACTTATAAAAAAAAGATATTTTAAATTACAGATTTTAGAAGTTTATAGTAAATTTCCAGATAAGCTTCATGTTAAGGTGTACTTTATTGTTTTATAAATGAATTAGTAATATATAATATATAATTTCAGATCAAACTGAAGGTATTTTTTTAAGTGGGGCATGACTCCATATGAATTCTTGATAATTTCATTAGGATTACAGAATTTCCACTCTGTTAAATTATTTTATATATAAAGGTAGAATAATAACCCAACAATAATCAAAACACTTATGACTTGTGTTGTCATTCAGTGAAACCTTTAATATTAAATGACTGGTTAACTTTTATAGTTATCGGAAGTAAAAAGTGACCAATTTATTAGCTAGGAGGACTGAGCTTGAAGACTTGCCCACTCAAATTTTTAATGACTTTATGTTCCTGTTTTTATGAATTATTTGTTATCTCTTACCACACTAAATATCTTAAATGGACTTGCTCACCTTTCAATCTGAATAAAATTATTCATCTTTTTTTCTTGGGGTGCGGGGAGTTGCAAATTATGTACAGACTGAAAAGCAAACATTGCAGACCATGGTCGCTACTGATCTTGGTCTGCACTGTTCTCATAGGTATATGCATATGCTGCCAACAGGCGCAGGGTTAACCAATCAAAGTAAATGTTAAGTCAGTTTTCATGTGTGGTTTAAGTAAAGAGTTGTCAATTATTTTGTTATGTTTCAAATTTAATTTTTATTTTATAATTTGTTGTTATTAAGTTATTGTTCAGTTCCATGGATTAAGTATTTTCAATTATGGCAACAAATTAAATAATGTTTTTTTAGAAAATTTTTTTAAAAAAAAGTATTAATTCAGATATTTTATAGTATACATAGATGTAATAAATGTATTTCAAACAAAATAAGTTAGGAGCATCTGTGGTTGAGTGGTTAAGGTGGTTGACTTTAAACCACTTGACCCTCACTGCTGTGGGTTCGAATCCTGACAGTAAGTTTTGATTCTTTAATGTGAGGAAGCTATCCATCTAGCTTACGGAATGTGGGTGGTTCTACTTGTCGGAAATAATTCACGTAGGGTCACCTGAGGTCTTCCTTCACCAGTAAAGCTGGAACGTCTTCATATGACCTATACTGTGTTGGTGTGACGTAAAACCCAATCGAACAAACAATCAGAACGAAATTATGCATCTGAGGTCTTTCTACCCCAGTAAAACTGGAAAGTCGCCATATAACCTATACTGTGTTAGTGCGATGTAAAACCTAACCAACCAAACAGAAAAGGTGTGTTTTAGTGGTTTTTATATGCCTGTAATGTAGTGATTTCTGATAAATGGAAAACAAATATGTTTACCATTGATTATGAAATTTATCACTAATATGAGGTAAAACGAATGTCTCACGAAGATAATTGACATTTTTTTGATGTCAGACATGTACTGGTATTGGTAAATGGAGTAAGAGTTTTACTAACCAAGTTAATAATTCAGAAATCTCTAAATCAAATATAAATTCTCACATGATATATCAATGTTAAAACTAGGTTTATTTTATCGTAATCTTAAATGGTCTTCACTTTATTTCTTGTATTATTTGTTTGTTTCATAGATTGATGATGGTAGTGGAATGAAGAGAGATGCAAATGTTGATGATCTTGTCAAAATGGTGGAGGAATTAACGAGGATACATTAGCTGTTGATTTATGACAAATTGTTAATTATGTGGCTGTATGAATGCAGTATACACAAAGAAGAAAATTTAATTTACCCCTTGATTTTGGGCAATGGATAACAAAAAGCAAGCTTGACAATTGTATCAGATGAAAAAATACCAATTATCGTGAAAAACATTCTAATAACAGAAAAATTCATGCGGCTTGCTCATGCCTGAAATAATACATGAAATTCTTCCCATCAGTAAAGCTGGAAAGTCGCCATATGACCTATACTGTGTTGGTGTGCCCTTAAACCCAGCCAATAAAAAAAACAAAACAAGTTGAAATAAAGCTTTTTCATACCCAGTTTTAAAGTGCCAAAATAGATGATATTGTTTTATGCAAATCAGAACTCTGTAATTAAAACAAACAAAATGTTTGTGTTATATCTACCTATATGATCATTTGTGTGGCCATATGAGAATGATATTTCATACTTTAACATTTATCATGCTATGTCTGTGTGGTCAGAATGTTTTCTTACAGAAAATGAGTGTGTTTTTTCTTGTTATAATTCAATGTCAAGTTTGCTTTTCATCATTTGCCTAAAATTGGGGAGTCTTTTTCTCTCCCTTCTTTGTGTATACACTCTATTTTTGAAAATTGTTTCTGGTCATTTGATTTATTGGATTTCAGTTAATTGGAAGTTGTAAACATTATGAATATCATCTGGCAAATGTTGGTATGAATTATCCTGAGGGTAATAAAGTGCTAAAAGTTTGTATTGCTAGTATCAAATCTTGAAAATTACCAGACACAGAATATGTTCAGATATATTAGTTGTTTTGATCATATAATTATGCAGTATGTTTATATAGCTCAAATTATTATAGGGAATTCTGCATTTGTTAATTTTAATAATTGTGTGTAAGTTGAAAATAACAAATTGTGGCCTTCCCCTTTCTTGTTAAAAGTTGTTATAATATGCTTACTAACATTGTAGTTGTCATGGTGTTTAGACTGGAGGAATGTTCCATCAGATAAATTCTGTCAATTACATTATAAAATTATTGTAAGTGCTAAGGAATTTCCTGAAAGAATTGCCTATGAAAAAATGTGTTCATATTTCAGATATGGCTCTGATATGGTCATATAATTGTATAAATTTTCGAGATTTAGAACATAGTTTTATTACTGAACTTACTAAATTTATGTTATCGGCTTCTCCAGCTTTGAATTTGGGACAGTCCATTAATACTGTCAGGGATTTCAGTATTGTTACTGTAGAATTACGTAGGTGACAGTACTGGCACTAGCTTTTGTTTTATAAGGGGCATTAAATTAATACTACAAAAAATTAACATATTAACTTGATCATAGACTTGTTGTGTGTTGCACACCAGAAACAGTAGTTTTGTATATAGTGAAGGTACTGTTGTCTGTAGAATGACCTCTTGAGACTGTGACCAATATGTCCTTGACCTTTATTTAGTGACCTTTGACCTGGCTGCTTGGGTTGCAGTATGTATCAAAGTGCCGAAATTTGCCATAAACCTCAAGCAATTTTTGATTGTGTTGGGAATTACAATGTATTTATTGTAAATCTTGAACTATATATAGTGATTTTCAAACATTGAATAAGACTTTTTTTTTGCTACATACTCAAAACAGTGTGAACAAGTGTTTTGTTTTTTTAAACAACAAATATTTTACATAGTGCTATCACAATTTACCATCCTGCTCTTGTTATAATGTGCTCCTTAAAACAATTTTTCCTTGTGTTGTTATTTGTATTTTTTGATGAAATTGTATTATTATAGTTGTTTGATTTAACATGCATATTTTTCTCATGTCATTGATATTATAGTAAATCATTTAAATAATTTAATGACTGTTCATATACAAAGGTGAACAAGTTTTGCACTATTTTTCTATGTTTACTACTTTGTATTTTCAAGAGTTAAAGAGTTTCTTCTTTACATATAGATACTTTTAAAGAAATGGGAAAAGATTTGTGTTTGTTTTTGATTTTGTAATTAAGGGACAATTTTAAAGATAGTCTTTCTTTACCTTGTTATTATGTTCCTTGTTCATGTAGTTTAATTTTCAGGACATTTTTTGTTTCTCCACAAACAAGAGATTTTCGATTGTGGATTGATGTTTCTGTACCATGGTCATAAAAGTTCAATACACAATTTAAATAAAAGTAAAGGCAAATTGTGACACTTTTAGTTATCAGTTTTTAATTGCAGTTATACCACAAATATCCACAAACAACACATTGAACTTTTCTCTTATCAAACTCAACAGTATGTTTCCTTGTGTTAGAAATGATTAAAGACCGCCTCCGTGGTCAAGGGGTTAGAGTTGATGACTTCTAATCCAGTTACCTCTCTGGCATGGGTTCAATCCCCAGGTGCTTTTGTAGTTTAGCACAGAGGAAGGTAGTCTAGTACTGGTGTAACTCTCCAGGAACGATGGTTAGGAAACTACCCGCCTATATGACTGAAATACTGTTGGGGAAAAGGCGTAAAATGAAACAAACAAACAAAGTTAGAAATGATTAGGGCTTTCTGTACAAAAATCAGTAAACATGTATCTAATATGTAAACATACATTTCAGATTACAGCTTTGTCTAGATGTCTAAAATTAATGATTTATTTCATATTTTAAATGCTCTTTACCGGGACACAAAATATGTACATGATAATTTACTGAGAATATGTTAAATAGGAAATTTTGTTATTGGTTAAAGAAGTGAAAAATTGCATTACATTTCATTGACATTTTGTGAAAATATCAAATAAAATTGTACATTATGAAAATATTTGTTGTTTATATAACTAATGATATACATAAGTTATGAAGTAATGATATGGGATCTGAAATGTAGTATCATACTGTGGTAGTACAGGGACACCCATACAGAAATGTACTAGTTTAAGAATTAGATCTGCTATGTAAACTATCTTTTATTTAACTTAAAATTTGAAGGTATTTAAATTGCAATAAGTGTAGATGCATGAAATTTGCCATACCACTCAAATGCTTGCCTTATGTTTTAAACTCGACTATCGTGTCTGCTTAAGATATGGTTAGGTTTTGTATTCAACTTCTTATCTCATCGACCACTCTAGATAAATGCTTGAAATGTCACCCATAACTTAACTTTAATCAGATAATATCTTAAACTTATCATTTTTTGAGATCATTCAAGAACATGCATTGTTTTGGACTGATTTATGCACCTGTTGACGTTTAGCGTGTGCACTCTTGTTATCCATTGTTATTGCTTGTTGTTACTATCTGGGCATAAATGTTTTATCTGAGACAATAGACCGTATTCTTGTAAAACGAGCTCTTACTAACATAAAACTTAACAAGTAAGTTAGTCCATACATGCTCTATCCTTAACAGTATATGAATGTAATAATGTAACATAACACAAATTATTGAATACAATTGAAAATTAACAGGATGAGAGAGATGACTGCCAATCACCTTGGAATCTGGTTGGAGCCCTATTGGGCTGATAATGATGTTTCCTCAAATGTCACCATGCCCTGGCATGTTTCAGGAAGAATTTGAGTGCTTCAGCCTATCGATATGACCGAGTAAAGATTATAAATTACAAGGTTTATTTGGTTTAACATGATAAAAAATTTTGAGCAGTTACAGCAATGTTACTCTGTCTCAAGCTAGGGCAACCATCCTCATTACATCTAGACTAAGCTGGAATTTATGTGACTCACTTTGAGCAGGTTGCAACTTGTCATAATATAATTTCGTGGACATGAAATTTTGAGGTTTTGTCACGTACGGAACATTTTTTTGGGTTCTTAAATTTTGTGAACTTTTTATTTTTTCAAAAGGTAAATATGTAATGTGATGCAAAAATTTCAGATCTAAAATTCATGGACTTATCCATTCGTCCCACATTTTTTGGGAGCACAACTCAAAAAGTAAGATATTAAGTGCATTTATTTTATTAGGCAGGACTGCAGAGCACAAAATTGTAGAAAAATTCAATGTCAATAATTGCCCTTTCTTATTTTTAACTTCGTATGTGTACAGAGCTTTTTGAAGAGTGCCAAACACAAGGATTGAAATTACTTCTCTCTTTTTTTTCCTCATACAATTTTGTCCGACCATAACTCAAAGCTTTAGATATATAAACTCAAAATGAAAGGATGCTGTCGACAAGAATAACTATCCAAAACACATTTTTGAAGTTATTGCACATTATTACTTTTTCATGATGAATTTGCAATTTTTAATTTCTTATCCAGGCTATAACTCCAAATGTTTTAGAGATATCAAACATACCAACTTAAAACTTCTTTGGTTAAAGGTCTCGTGTGTACCAGTTGGGTAATTGTCCCATGATGTGTATGTAAGCAAATAAACTACTCTCCTTCAACAACTTTTCTCCTGTTCAGCAGCGATATAGCAATCTGTGACAGCTTCTTGTCATCTGTGGACTTATAAAGGCCTACAGACAAGAATATTGTCTAGAATTTTAAGATAATGAGGCCAATTGTCTTTGGACAGACAGATGAACAAAGCCATTCCAGAATATGTCCCAGTTATTATTGGTATATAACCAGACCACCACTAGGCAGAGCATTTTATGCCCAAAGTGCTTTTTTTTTAATAAGGATGAAGCATTTGTAAGACATGGGAATTTAATAAAGTATTACCTCCTTTAAAAAGTAATCCTCCTTTATAGCTCAAGAAGCTTCATATTTATACAGTTGCTGTTTTCAAATCACCACCATCAAGTAGTTATCTTGTAAGCAAAAATGCAACAACGGATGGATGGAAAGATGCCAGGTGAAGGTATAATATAAGCAAATTTTTTAGGGCATATAATTAATGTACTCCATATAAGTGATCATCCTACGAAGTTGGACAGTTGTAAAACTGTAAAAAATATTAAGGTCATTTGATTTTGACCTTGCGACCCCAATATAGGTCATATGCCGACGTTCCAGCTTTACTGGTGGAGGAAGACCTCGGGTGTCCTGTGCGTTATTTCAGGCCAATCGGGCACCTGAATAGAACCACCTATGTTCCGTAAGCTAGCTAGATACATGTAGCTTTCTAAATCTTTCTTTCAATATAGGCAATCATCCTATGAAGTTTTAACACTGTAAGCCAAACAGAACTTGTGTTATGCTTCATAGTGTTAAGGTCATTGTGACCCTGACCTTATGAACCTAAAATCAATAGGGGTCATGTATTGGATTTGGCTGTTCATCCTATAAAATTTTACAGGTGTAGGCTGATCAATACTTAAGTTATTGAGGGAAAACCATTTTAAGTTTTAAGGTTATTGTGACTGTTGCTCCAAAAACCAAATTGCTAAGGATGCCTGGGGATTTAACATAATATGCCTGAAATTCTTTCGGGCATATAAAAAGGAATTGACGTTCAACAGCATTTTATGACCAATTTGGTTCATTTTAAGGTTTCTATACACTAGTCTTGTGTTTTTTCTTCCTGTAACAAACTGAAGATGGAAGTATTTTCAACAGTTTAGTTCTAAACTTTACTGAACTAGAATTAAAACGTAAAACAAGATATTTCTACTGGGTATACTTTAATCTTTAGCCAAGTATAAACTTAATAAACAATTACAGTGAGGCTTTAAAATAAAACAAAAGATTTTTACCATATTACACATAAATCTACTACATTCAGCAAAAAAGTTCATTTTATTATCAAAAATTTTCATTTGTCAAATTTCAAACTCAAGTTTGCTCTCCCCAGATGTGATAATGTAAAGTTAGTTGTTAAATTAACTCATCATTCTGTACTAAAATATCCCTGATTTTGGTCAAGCCACAACTTGTTGAGATAATAAGTAGACACCTTAGCTGTAATTCTACCACTGTGCAGTATCTAATCTTTTAATGTCACATAACATTTTTATTAATTTGAGTTTTATTCTAAAAACGTCATTTGCAAAAAAGAATGAACAGGGTCATTGCTTCTTACAAATTAACAGTGCTTTTTCTTTAAAATGAGAGAAAAAATTAAAATAAGACATAATTCTACTATCTAAAGCATTTACAATATCTACAACTTCTACATGTACATTTTACAAAAATTAAAAATTTAACAATACTTTCAATGTTTCAGCAATGTGCCTGAAAATTGGTTCATTAAGAATCTTACAAAAAGAATTTTACAATTATATACCAGTAAATCACTCTAAAAATGATGATAATTTATTATCCTATAAATAGAGACACTGTATACAGACAACATTTATTTGAATTATTTTTGTTTCACTCACTCGTCATTAAAAAAGCAAGGCAATAAGGTTTACTATATCAATTCCAAATACATATGGAGTATAAATAGAAATAATTTTTTCATTATAAATAATTTGCTTTTCTTCCTTTCAAATTTGTTTATCAAGAAATTAAAATTCCTTATATAAGACTGCTGAACCAATACAAAAATGGCACCCCCGTCTTATAAGGGTGATCAGCTTTATAGCCGAGTATGTATCTTAAATACTATAGTCTGTGTAAATGAATATATGGATAATGTATGCATTCCTCATTATATGTTTTAACATTTAAATAAAAGATGAAAATTAACACGAGGACATTCATATATCTCACTTTAATTACATAGAATTAATATGTGAACATTCAATGCGAGTCATTATTTAATAATGACAAAAAGTTACCGATATTTTAAATTTTCTGGGAAAACACATCTGGTAAGGTTTCAGTACCCCTTTTTTAATTTATCACATGATTATGTTACACTTTCAAACTGCTTGTATAAAATGTTTGTAGATCTTTTTACTTGTAAGTCACAAGTTGGCAGCTTAAACATAATTTGATATTTTTGGAAATGATAAATGCTGACAAATGAAACAATGCTAGTAACCATTATATTCATCACATTAATACAAAACCTATTGTCTTTCATATTTTATTTTCATTCAGTGACGTAAGTTTCACACTGATGCGACATAAAAAATGTTGAGCTTGACAAAAGAATACATGAAGCAGGGGATATATAAACACACTGAACACATTAAGCTTGAAATCCATCTTACACACCTATATATCTCAATAATTAATGTGAGACTTAGCCCTATAGGACGTAAAATAACCAATATAAACATCACTAAACTTGGAATATGTTAATATTATTGCCTAGCAACCCATTTTAAGTTAACAGCAAATTATATTTTATTCATGTTTACACATTTTCTTTCCTCAAACATCAAACAAGAAATTTCCACTAAAATTTTGCATAAATAAAAATTAAACATCTCCTAATTTGATTTCCCCTTTTCAAGATTTTTTTAAAATCATTCACAAAATTTCAAAAACTTATCTAGCCCTACTTAGGTGACGTGAAGTATTCATGTAAAGAATGGTATCTGTTAACTTTAGAATGCTCATAGTTAAAAAAAAAATGGCCCCACAAAACCGAATCATACAAGAGTTCAAACCCCACCCACTGTGGGACTTGCCACTTTGTATACTGTGTAATAATCTAGCAATGTTAAATAAGAATGACGCAATGAAACAAGATAATAAAACATAAGAAATGTTCTTGCTGTAGTATAGTATAACTGAATGTCTATACAAAATTGTACATCAAGTTAATTTGAAGATTCTAGACGGTAAAATAGTTCTACCAGAGGCTTGAAGATTGACCACCAGGTGGAGCTGCAACTCGGATCGTCTTTTTCCTAGCAATATTATCATCAACTTGACTCCCTGAAATTATAAAATACAAATTTGCTAAAACTTTTGCTCATCTTTTTTGAGATATAAAAACTATTCAATAATATTTTGGGCAAAACATATTTATTTCAAAAGAAAAAGCTTTAATTAAGAGAGAGAAGAATCCTTCATTAAACAATTAACAAAAAAAATTAAACCAACACCTAAAAATATCAATAAAAAAAAAGTATTTGACAAGCTTTAAATATTTTCGGCATAGACCGTTTGTAAGTCGGTCAGTCATATTAAGCCAGTAAGCATTCCTGGATTCGGTTCCAGTACTGAACTGTTTTGCTGCCTAGGAAATGTTTAACACTTTCTCCTTATCATTTACTTTACTTGTGATGGATGTGTCATTTGAAACATCAAGCTTTCATTTAAATTGTCATTGTGAAAATTGACAGAGCAAAGGACTCAGGTGCCGTCACCTTGACCTAAAGCTATTCATCACAGAGGTAATTGTACCAGATCCATAATATTTAGTCACCCATAACCATTAACATGTTAATATTAACAATGATTACATTAATATATTATGTATGGTGTAATATACCTGTGATTAGTTCGTGAAATAAAGTGTTCTTTTTTAAATATCTGAATAATTCTATTTTGGAAAGTACAGTTGAATGTATATTAACATTGTAAACAATGTCAGAAAATGGGAAATGGGAATTACTTAAGAAAAAAATCCTTATTCAATAAACATACATTAAAATTTTAAATCCCTGATATTTCTGTCTTTGTATGTTACTTAGGTTACTAGTAATCATTTTTTCAAACAAAAATCTCTGTCTATGTTCAATACAATGTATTTGTATTAATGCCTATTCCAAATTATTTCAGTAACATCTCAGTGTCTTATCTCTCCCAAAATTGTTCTTTGAAATTTCACCAGTGCCAAACTGTTCCCTAATTTCTGCCAAATTCTAAATTTGATCCGCTGAATTAACTAAGGAAAACCAATGGTGCCATCAAGGAAAACCTGAGCATCTCCAGTGACTAAAAAGCTCAGTTTTACCGGTCCAGTTAACACAGCCACATCACATAGCCTTATCTGATTTTTGCCTGACTATTGCTGTACTTGAACTATCATATATCTTTATATTAATAACTGATGACAAGTTATGAAAAACAAATTTGAAATTTTGAAAATATCTTCACAAAAGCTTCATACAAAGACAGAGAAATAACTATACAGGAATTTGATCATTTTACCAAATTCTTTTTTATAATAGAAGATAAGTAATTTCTACAGGGAAAAAACGTTTCAAACTAGTTAAATTCCATGCTTAAAGTACCAAAAGATCTCCTATCACTCTATCTTACAATGATAAACATAAACTTCAGTATAAAACAAGCAGAAATAATACATGTAAAAGCAGAAAAAATCTTCATGAAATAAATAAGTCATATTTTCATGCTTCAAGCTTTTTCTTTTCATTATTCGGTTCAAATACATTTTGTAGTTCCAAAAGCTATGAAGAACTTAACTTTAATGTTTTTCCTTTCCAAAATATGTTAATTTAATGTTATGAAAGTTTTAGCAACAAATCTTTTTTTATTAAATAAATGTGATAAAGTTGCAAAGAGAAAATGGTTGATTAGTGATAAATATTGGTCAAATTGTAATGGAATGAATGAAAGGAAAAGTAGGGAGTGCGCGATACATAGTTGCCATGGATACAAGTCTATTACAGCATGCCGACATGCATAAATGAGCATGCCAACAAAAGGTTGAGGATATATGTCGCGGTGCTAGCGAAAATTCTGCTTGTTGTATTAAGGGAATGTTTCTTCCTCCCTCCTCTAATTTGTTGTAAAAACGAAATAAAAAAAACTTACGATGATCTTCTAACAAAAAAATAAAATACAAGACAATGAATTCCTGCATAATTCATAAAACTACTGAAATAAAATATGTTACAAATCTCATTCCTAGAGGGTCTGTATTAGATTTACTAGCTAATGAGGACATCAGTTTAAATACCAAATTTATTAACAATATAATGATGCCATTTACGTAAGTTCTCAATACATGTTTCTTGCATATCAGACAATTATCTGCTATTTACATTGGTGCTAGAAAAACCTGTCTTACACCCCCAAGTAAGACAAGTCGTGTGTTTCACACAACATCATTCCCACTCGCCTTTTACGAATGAATTGCATTTTTAGGATGACATCATTGTCCCGTTAAGAATGAAGTTGTAAATTCATATGCTACTATAAGAAAGAAGTACTAATGAAAATATTAGAATTCGTAGTTTCTTTTCGTAGTATGATTATTAAATATGCAAGAAAAAGTATCAAACATCGGCTGTCATCACAGACAGGATTATCTAGCCCTTGGGTAACTTATTAGCAGAAACTCAGCAGAGCTTCATTACCACCATAAACAGATACCCTCAAGCTAGATATTCCTGTCTGTACTCCCAGTTGGTGTAAGATTCATATAATATTTACTCTCAGAGCTAACAATGCCCACTATCTGGCCAACTCCCGGTTATTTTATTTTAATTTGTCTGTAAAAAACTTGCTTCAAATATCAATTTCCTCAGAAAACTCAGCCTTAACCTCATGTCTACATTTAATTTAGATAAAACAGATTTAAATAAAACTTGTTTGTTTGTTTCATTTTACGCCTTTTCCCCAACAGTATTTCAGTGATATAGGCGGGTAGTTTCCTAACCATCTCCTGGAGAGTTACACCAGTACTAGACTACCTTCCTTCGTGCTAAACTACCAAAGCATCTCCCGGGGATCAAACCCATGCCAGAGAGGTAACTGGATTAGAAGTCATCGACTCTAACCCCTCGGCCACGGAGGCGGACAAATAAAACTTGGAAAAAACTGATAGCAATAAGCTTTTACATACCATACCACAAATGTATGTTTTTAATTCAAGGAAAACTATGATGACTTGGGCATAGCTGAAGTATGAGGCATAGTTGATTGAAGTTCTAATCAATTTTAAACACAAGTTTTAACAGGATGAAGAGAAGCGCACATTTAGAATACCAGAAAGCATCTTCCTATACTTAGAATCTCATGGAAATAATTTGAAACATTCAGTCAACAATAAGCCATGATAAAGCTAAACAAGACAATTTTATACACATGACCAGCATATCAAGTCTATCCATTAAAATATATGCCTGCAATGAAAAATAGGTTTTTTCTGCGATGTGTCTCATTTTAAATAATGATTCTCGGTCAGTCTACCAGTAATATGACCAATGTGAACAATGACGTCAAACAAGTAAATGAAATTGATCTGAAACAAGCTGTGTTAACTTAATGAAGCGTTTTACAGACAATATTAAAAGCTTAAATCATAAAGACACCCGATACTGATGGGTACAACACTGCTCGAGGTTATTTGGTCAGGCTGCGATACCCAGTGACGGGGATCAACAGTGGGCGACCAAAACCTACCATATAGCTCGTAATTTCCACAGGAATCATATTCCCCACAGGATTCATATTCCCCACCCGAATCAAAATCTGCACACCCACCTTCGCATCGCAATAATATTTTCCGTAGAATTTTATCAGCTAAAATTAATAAATAAAACGGTAATTTTTTCTGATATTCTGCTTGATCAACTATACAGACAGGAAAAATATTTAAACATCAAAACTTATATAAAAAGAACATATGAATTAGAGATACTGGATAACTATACAGTCAGAATCATATAACCATGTAAAAAATTTGAAATATGTTAAGAATTTATATCAAATTTACAGAAAAACTGTACAGGAGCTTCGAGATATATCAAGTTTTTATTAACAATCTTTAGAACATAAATTCTTTTTTTTTTCCCCTCCATATCAAATGTGTTTCAACAATTTTGAGCCAATGACTGCATAAAAATTTGAGAAAAAAATACTTATTTATAATCAAAGACAACTTTCTACCATTTTCAACTTGAATTTTTAAAACTTTTGCAAAACAATTACATAAAACTCAACAAAGACAACAAATTTAACAAGACTGGAAAGTTTAAAATTAAATATGCTTTGACCCAAGTAATGAAGTTTTGATTTCAAAGCAGCTGTATAGTTTAAATTCTTAATTATAATTGGTTGACACACTGAATATAATATTTTCATAGACTAGTTATGTATTATTAAATATTTCTATACAATATACCAATGGAAATTACCAGCTACACGGATTATTTGACATGCCCAGTCATTCTCTTATACAGGGATTACAAGCATATATATTTATTAATTTTGTATCTACAACCCTCCCATTTCCAATTGCGTTAAAGAAATTTCATCACCTAATCAACTTATACGTAACCTTAAATTGTATGTAGATAAGAAACTTGAGTAAATATTTTGCAGGAGATTGTTTCATTCCTCATAGAAGATAAAGTTAATCATAACCTCAATTAATTTTCTTGTGCTAATAACTAATTTATTATTATTGAAGGGTCTACATACACTTAATTCAGATAAAGTTTATGAACAGATTTCTTCAACTTGACCATATATGGGTCACGATAGTGTCTGTAAAACCCAAACTGACGTTTATCCAAATAACAAATTTTGAAAGATGATCAAAATAATTTACAAATTCAAGACTTTATAACAAGATAAAGTCTTCTTCCAAAAAAAATTTTAGACTGCCATTTTTGTTATTTACAGACATTTAACATGAGAAAAAAAAAATCAACAATGTCCTCATAGCTTGTACTAAAAAAAGCGCAAGGCAGAATGTTAGCTACCACTGAAAGAAAAGCTAGAGTCCTGTTGGTTTCGACCTCCAGATCTTGTTGGCGGCCTGTTGTGGAATTCATTTGACATATCATCTCCCATTATAACGTTGTCCACTTTGTTACGATGGATGGGTGGAGTCATTTCAACACTGTTCATCTTCACCTCGGTGACAGGACCTTCGTACACCTCTCGATCAACTTTAACTGGTTTACGAGCCTACAACACGGAAACACATAACTATATTGTAGTCACTGATCAAATATCTCTATTTGATAATCAGTGTTATTTTAATTTTTGCTTTAGCATTGGGCAGTATCATTTATCTTTCTGCTTCAAATGGACCCAGCGGTCCATAATTGACACAAGCTTATCAGCCACCATGAATGTGAAGACTAGGCTGTTTAAAAAAAACAATTGGCATACAACTGTTCTAGTCTACACTTATTATGAGGAAAGTCGGACACAATTTCAACAAAATAAAATGCTTCATATTTCAATTTATTTTCTCTCATTAATTTAAACATTAAAACACATACATATTTCACTATTTACTTTTTTCAATATTATCAATATGTGATCTATGGTTACTGTACAATATTATTAATATGTGATCTATGGTTACTGTATAAGTGGTTTTTGTAAAATATGTAAGACGCAAAGTCACAATCACTTTCATTTCTCAATCAACTATTTAGTCTTAACCCTTAAACTGCTGAATAGATTAGTGATGAGCAGTTTGCCACCAGTATAGAGCCAGGCCAGCTCGCATATTTGTGCAGTCTAACCGAGCTTAATACTGCTGGTAGCTCAATTTTTATACCTTGACACTAAATTCTCTTAAACTTAGGATTGTTCCAAATTTAAAGCTAGGAAAATAAATGTAACAGGGTGAGAAAAATATACAGCCTGACAGGAAACTCAGGACCCTCAGAATACCGTGCCAGGGCCTTACCGACTGAGCTATCCGGCCGCTTATACATCTCCCCTAAATAGTAAATAGTCCTGAACTGTAACATAAATGAGAGAAAATCAGAGAGGTAAAAGAATATTTATTATACAGTATAACATAAAACATTAATTTCAACTTACAATTTCTAAAGCTTCTACTCTTCCATATACTTTCTCGGCATAACAAGGGGTGGGGATAAAACGACCTTGACCTTGAGTCACTTTCAACTGTAAATAACACACATCATTTGAATATAGAAAATAAAATTGTAACGTTTTTTTGAGTTGATTTTAGTCTTACAATAAACTTACAATTAGCTATTTCTATGATTTTTTAACACTTTATTCAACTTTAAAAGAATTGATTTGACCAAAAACAAACAAAATGTGGATTTGACAGAGCATCATCATTACTAAACAACCTTAAAAACAAGTTATCTTAGCATTTTAGGGTATAAATCTATATCTTATGAAATATTTTAATAAAATTTATCAACAGTAAAATTATATTGGTTCCAGTATTATTTGGTTAATTCCCGAAAAAGCTGTAACATAGAATAATGTACGTAAACAATAAAAAGTTCCGGAACAAAAAAATATTATTTTGCTATTTAAAGTAGGGTTTTATCCGTTTAGCAATGATTATGTGCATGCGCCTTCCCTTTTAAGGCAATAAATTACCATTTTTATTTCATACAAGCATTTTGGAAGTATACTTTTTTAAATTCAAACAATAATTTTTGCATCAGATATATAGCTTTATACACTTTAAGTTCAACAATAATAACTTATCACCTGTCCCTCATCGACAACTACATGTCCGTTACTGATAACATACAAGGGTACACCATGACAAACCATGCCTTCAAAGATATTAAAATCTACAGCCTGGTGGTGGGTTTTTGCGGAGATTGTCCGTGTTTGTTTTGGGTCCCAGATAACTATATCAGCATCTGAACCTACAGCTATCCTTCCCTGATATAAAATAATACACGTAAATATTGACTTAATACAATTACCTAAATATAATAATCATCTAAACAATTAAAATCCCTAGCGAAGGTTCCTACTTATGTCACATTGTACTATTACGGTTGTTTGACATTTTGGCAGCTTTGATGGATGAAGGCGTGTTATATCAAAACCACAGACTTTTGATAGTTTCTTCACATGTGATAATTTAATGTTCCAGCAGCATTTTATATCACAGCAGTGAAAGAAAAAGTAACACAGTGCATCAGTATTACTATAATATATTTCTAGCAGTCTCATATATATATCCCTGTCAACTAAGTTAGAAAGAGAGGGCATTAGATCAACAGACTTTAGAATTGTGAGTCTTCAGCAATGTATGTTATATAAACAAGATTTTGGAAGAAGAAAATATATATCTTAATACCATTCATTTCCTATCATTGGTTTAAGTGATAGATCTCATAAATGAATAAGTTCCGGTACATAATTCAAATGAAGTTATCAGGTATTTGATATATGAAACTGTAAACATTCTGTTATTTTAACAAACTTATATAGTCTTACCTTTTGTGGATAAATATTGAATATTTTAGCAGCATTACTACTAGTGACTGCTACAAATCTACAGGGGTCCATTTTACCAGATGTCTGAAATAAAACATTGCAATAATACTGTAATGTTTCAACAAACTGTCAGTAAATATGCCTCTTTCTTTAATTATCCAATTACATATTCATGTTCGTTGACACCATTACATAGATCTTAAAAACTTGTCCTTTGTTTATTATTTGTTCCACCTGTGTTTATTATTTGTTCCACCTGTATCATTTTTCTCAGTATTTAATTATATAAATAAAATGCCTAAAAACATCCAGAACGGCAAAACTGAAAATGTTGCAGGACTCGGTTTGATAGAGCCTGTTCATGGACATTACTGCAACAAACAAGCTACCACCCACACCCCTTGGCATTGGCCTAAGCTGAATTCAACATTTAACATATAATGGTAAAACTTGGATTAAGAGCATATTAGATGCTGAGTAACTGGAGAAAGTAGCGAAGTAATGTGTCGTAAAGGTAGCAAATGTTAACAAATTAGTATTTTGACTTCCATACAAAATACTAAATCCACTACAATTACACTTATTGCCAACAGAGCAAAAGATATAACATGTGTACGGCAAATGTTTAATTTTTGGAAATTGTGATAAGATACCAAAACAAAAAGTTTTTGAGGAATAAAATTAATTGCATTAATGAGGCACAATGGGCCTTTAAAGGATATGAACCAACAGTCATACAAGAGGACCCCGAAAAAGAGAACCTATATGTCCCTAACTTTAATGCTGTGTCACAAGCCCCACCCTCTGACAAGAGATTTAACAGTAAAACATAAAGACACTAACCACACCCTTTTCCCAGATAACTGACATTCTATCTTCTACACCGTTTACACCGTTTGGAATCTTTCTAAAGTCATCTTTTCCTAGAGCCTTCTGATCAGCATTGAATGTACAGTTGTCTGTCCCTGTCACTTGTAAATCACCACTGTAAATAAATCATATTTATGTCTCTCTCTCTATCAAATATATTATTTAGCAATATTTCTAATTTTACATATTCAAACAGTGGAATTTCTGAAGGTCTTATCAAGGTACATGTACACTTAAAACTTTGTAAAGCAAATGTCTTCAAAATATTCATACGTATAAATCAAAACTAGAACTCCGCGAGTCGGATGTGTCGTCTTGTGAACAATATAGTTTAAGAAAAATGGCAAAGACAAAAATGAAATTTTAAAATCAACAAAGGGCAAAAACTCAAAAAATAAGAAATGCAGATCAGCAGTTTCTGTGCACTGCACTTCTTATCATTAAAATCTATCATCCTATTAAGTTTCAAGTCTAAAGATTTTATAATTTATGAGAAATGGCCTGGACAAAAATAAAGTATGAAAATTAACAAAGGGCAATAACTTAAAAAATAGGAAATGCAGATCAGCAGTTTAAGTGCACTGCACTTCTTATCAGTTAGATCTATCATCCTATTAAGTTTCAAGTATAAACCTTTTATAATTTATGAGAAATGGCCTGGACAAAAATAAAGTATGAAAATAAACAAAGGGCAATAACTCAAAAAATAAGAAAGGCAGAGTACCAGTTCTTGGGCACTGCACTTCTTCTTAATGAGATCTAATCCTATGAAGTTGCATGTCCATAGCTTTTATACTTTAGAAGAAAAGGCCTGGACAAAAATAAAGTATGAAAATTAACAAAGGGCAATAACTCAAAAAATAAGAAATGCAGAGTACCAGTTCTTGTGCACTGCACTTTTCCTTCATGAGATCTATCATCCTATGAAGTTTCAAGTCCAAAGCTTTTATAATTAATGAGAAATGGCCTGGACAAAAATAAAGTATGAAAATTAACAAAGGGCAATAACTCAAAAATAAGAAATGCAGAGTACCAGTTCTTGGGCACTGCACTTCTCCTTAATGAGATCTATCATGCTATGAAGTTTCATGTCCATAGCTTTTATACTTTAGGAGGAAAGGTCTGGACAAAAATAAAGTACGAAAATTACCAAAGGGCAATAACTCAAAAAATAAGAAATGCAGAGTACCAGTTCTTGTGCACTGCACTTTCTCTTAATGAGATCTATCATCCTATGAAGTTTCAAGTCCATAGCTTTTATACTTTAGGAGAAATGGCCTTGACAAAAATAAAGTATGAAAATTAACAAAGGGCAATTACTCAATAAATAAGAAATGCAGAGTACCAGTTCTTGTGCACTGCACTTCTTCTTAATGAGATCTATCATCCTATGAAGTTTCAAGTCCATAAATTTTACACTTAAGGAGAAATGGCCTGGACAAAAATAAAGTATGAAAATAAACAAAGGGCAATAACTCAAAAAATAAGAAGAACATAGTACCGGTTCTTGTGCACTGCACTTCGGGTCATTATGAGAAGCATGCATACCATGTTTGCAGTCAATCAGACTTATAATGATTGACTTATGCTCCGGACAAGCTTTAGGGGACGCCGACGACGACACCGACAACGACGCCGCCGTCGAAAGTAACCCCTATATGTCGCCTTTTTCAAGGCGACACAAAAATTAAGGGAAACTTAAAGTATTGAGAATTAGCAACAATTCTTTGCAGTTTAACTTGACATTTTTAACAATCCATACATGTAGCTTTCTTTAACCTTTTACCCCATGAGCATATTGCGAAAAATGCCCGTTTTCATTGAAAAGCCTCCTGTAACAAGTTCAAACTGCTATGAAACTAGGAAAAATGCTTCAATACTAATGAAACTTGGCACAAATGTTGACTACACCATAGCCTCTGTAACAGCATGCTCAATGGTAAATTTCCTGATACCATGGCAACGGAGGACATCTCAAAATTGCCAAAAATCTCTGTTTTGCATTGTTTTTTTCCATCAAAACTGATTTCAAAGTGCGACAACTTCTCAATGAATTGAGATAGAGTAAAAGGCTTTTCAGCGTCAGTTACTAGTTACCCTAAGATCGACCTGAGGCCATTTTTAGCCTGTCACAAGTCCAAAATTTTCTTGGCGTTGTGGGGGACTCTGCCCCCCTTCAAACCCCCCAAACAGAAGGGGGCACGTCCCCCTTCTGGCAAGCCCCTGATGATATATTTGGATGGGGGACGGCGCCGAAAAAGTGGTCACTTTTTTTAACAACATTTCTCAAACGGAAAACAGTGTTAAGGGTCTAAATAGGGCATTTTTTCACAGTTTGAGGCCTCAAAAGGGGATGGGGGAAAGCCGTCGAAACACGCTTATATAAGGGAAAAGGTTAAATAATATCTGAAATCCTGAATATGCTCTTACTTGTGAAGATAACCTGTTTTAAAATGATGTTAACAGTCTTCAGTTCTATCCAACCTTATTTTGCACTTGGTTTCACTTATTTTTTATTGTTAGTTTCTGGTATTTTAGTTTTAAGTTTCAGAAATTTCAGTTTCAAGATACTTTTTTTATGCTGAATTTGATTTTAAATCTCACAATGTTTATGTCATATGACTACTCAAGTAGCTTCACAACCACTGGATAATTCCATTATATTTTGTAAAGGATGTGCCAACACCTGAGTAGAACATGAAGAGTTTTAGTATGATAGATGGATAGTTTCCTAACATTAGATATATACATACTTAGCAAGCAGGTCCATGAGATAGGAGGGTGTGGTTGGGTCAGGTCTAAGTGGTGGGCCCATCACATGACCAGCTGCATGGCGCCAACACTTGTTCCACTGATGAGTACCATCTGTACCTAGACTAGCAGCGATTGGTTCACCAAATACTACACATCCTGTATTATATAACATTCTTATTTAAATATACAACCTCAAAAATAACATGACTGGTATAAACCACTAACAAGAATAAGGCCATAACCACTCACAAGAAAATCACATGAATTTCCAAAAATCTTTTCTAACAAATTTTTCAAAAGCATTTAGTAAGCGGTAAGTAAGTTTCTTTGTGTCAAAAGCAAGTCACTACATAATTTTCAATTCAGCACCATTGGTTAAGATTTAATATCAACTACATTTGAAGCTAAATCAATTGAAACCAGATGGACACTAATTAACTCTTCACTTAAAAATAATTACCTGAAGAAGAGAAATAACCCAGATTTAAAAAAAATTATCTTCATTTCTAAAATGTCCATCTCATATTATGTAATCCTCTACCATAGAGTGATTTTCTGTAAACCTATACCATACCTCTTCTCCTAGCATCAGCTATATTGCTGCCTGATGTTTTACTCATGACTTTAACAATGTATAGAGGACAATTAGCCTGGTTAGCCACAGCTATAGCCCTGTTCACAGCTTCCCCTTCCACCTAAAACAACATAGTCCAGCTCCCTTTAATATGTTACCTTCTTATCTCACACTTTGTTACAACACCTACACATGCACTCACATGTTAGCTTTACCTCCGAGTTAAAAGTTGTTCTGACAAGGCAGCATGCATTTGTCAAGCAGGAATATGGCAGAAAATAAAATAATAAAGCAGAATAAAAATAAGCAACAACAAAGATTCAGACTTACCTGATCATAACCAGCTTTCTGTCAAGTGTTATGCAAACCTGTAGGAAATACACACCTACTTCTGAAAACTTCTACTTTCATTTCCTGCTGAAGCATTAGTTAAGTAAATGCTGCATTGATCTAGATTCTTTTATGGTGATGGTGGATAATCACTTATTTTAAACACATACCTACAAATGGTCCATGGTTATATCAGGCTCATATTTAGCATTGTAGATGGAATAAAACAGTATGAAAAGGTGCAGGCATCAATACTCACAACAAGAGCCGGTTGAACCGGGTGAACCGGGATGCTCCCCGAATAGGTTTTGGACACAGGAAGGTATACCTCTTGTTGTGTCAGAGTTATGTCACAGACAAAGTTCAAAGTGTAAAAACAACCCAAATATTGTGCATGACACATTGTCTAAATATGGTGATCATTTTTGTGAAATAGTTGTAAAATCCGATTTCAAATAACAAAGTTATGCACCTGACATTATTTTGCTGCAAGGTCATGCTGTGACCTTGACCTTCAACGAAGTGACCTAAATGTTGCATGCGACTCGTCGATTCAATATGGTGATCATCTCTGTGAAATAGTTGTTAAATCTGACTTCCAGTAACAAAGTTATGGGCCGGACACGATTTTGCTGCAAGGTCATACCGTGACCTTGACCTTCAAGGTAGCGACTTAAATGTTGCGCATGACACGTCATCTTAATATGATGATCATTTCTGTGAAATACTTTTTAAATCTAACTTCAAATAGGGAAGTTATGGGCCGGACACGATTTTGCTGCAAGGTCATGCTGTGACCTTGACCTTCAAGGAAGCGACCCACATGTTGCACGCGACACATCGTCTCAATATGGTGATCATTTCTGTGGAATATTTTTTAAATCTGACTTCAAATAACAAAGTTATGGACCGGACCCGATTTTGCTGCAAGGTCATGCTGTGACCTTGACCTTCAAGGTAGCGACCCAAATGTTGCGCGCGACACGTTGTCTCAATATGGTGATCATTTCTGTGAAATATTTTTAAAATCCGACTTCAAATAATGAAGTTATGGACCGGACACGATTTTGCTGCAAGGTCATGTTGTGACCTTGACCTTCAAGGTAGCGACCCAAATGTTGCGCGCGACACATCGTCTCAATATGGTGATCATTTCTGTGAAATAATTTTAAAATCCGACTTCAAATTACAAAGTTATGGGCCGGACACGAATTCGGGACGTACGTACGTACGTACGTACGTACGGACGGACAACCCGACGACTATATGCTCCCCCGAAATTTTTCGGGGAGCATAAAAAACACCAGAATCACTATTCAACCCAAAGATTTCACATCAGTAGTTAGTGGTTCCTGTTTATCTCGGGTTATATCTTACCTCTTCAAGTTGTGTTTTACTTTATTTATAGTTAAATTTCATGAGACTACGTACCTCGTTTACGTGCCGCACATACGACATCTGCGGAGGATTTGCTCATCACATGTACAACATATAGCGGACAGTTTGCCTGATTGGCCAACATGATGGCACGATTTGTAGCTTCTGCCTCTACCTACATACAACAACAAAACATACAACATCTACATGCTCGTAACTAAAAACCAATCACATTTCTACACTCAAACACTTTGAAAACACACAACATATTTGAGCTGTGTCATGACAAAACCAACATAATGGGTTTGCGACCAGCATGGATCCAGACCAGATTGCGAGGATGCGCAGGCTGGTCTGGATCCATTCTGGTCGCAAACCCATTATGTTGGTTTTGTCATGACACAGCTCATTTCTAACCCTGTTCTCCAAACCTTTATTTTAAATAATAGTTTTCTATTTTATTTTGTGCTTGATTTTATTTCATCAGGGATCATCTGGCAGCACTTGAGTAACTCAGAAACTTTATACCCTTATTTTATATACTAGATATATGACTGGCATGGAAATTTATTATCTTAGACAATCTTGCTCATTGTGATGTATTTTCAAGTGTTTCAGTGTGTATATTAAAAGTTAAGATACCTTATAAAACATAGTTTTTTAATTTTCTTGTCAATGTCATATGTTGGTGCATACAACAGACTGGCAAATTTTAGATATCATATTGGAAGGTATCTTAACTTTTAGTAAATAGAAATTGATAAATAAGTATTCAAACTTTCTAACATAAAAAAAAGCAAATAAATTAAAACTGGAACAACAACTTCTATTACTTGTTATTGCTACAAAAAAAGAAGATAAAAGTGTGCAATAAAAACAACAACTAAATGGTAAAAATTCCTCCTGACTGACATAAAATGATCAAGACAGCTAACCCCACATACATTTTATAAGTATAAAACTTATTGCAGTCAATACCTATCATCTTATATTACCTTAAAAAGAAGATGCTTGTTTATCAAAAGGGGAAAAAAAATTAAGATACATAGCACACATCATGATTTGTAATATCTTCCTAAAAATGTATGAAAAGTAGTCAAGCTACCATATTCCTACATTATAATACAATTTTCTGTTACAAGTCATGACTATTTTAAAGTGACCAGTGTTAAATATCCATAACTGTTAAATCAAGACGTAATAAAAAAAATGCAGGTTAGCTCCCTTGATTTTAACGAAATATTAATGCCTGCAAGAAGTAGTGTTATAAAATATTTTACACAACATGGCTATCAAATGAATCCCAGGAAGTAAATGAAACAAACAACAACAAAGCATGCTTTATATAAATTCAAGCTAGCATAAAAAATTATATTTCACAATCTTTAAAGAAAATTTCTTGAAATAATTAAATCAATCATTTAACACTCTGTATTAATGAATTTATTTTATACATTATACTACTTTGTAAAAACACTGCTATTAAGATGATACTTCCTATATAAGAGGAAATGTACAGAAATAATACAGTCAACCACTTGTGTTTGAAATATAAAATAACCAGACCAAGATAGCAAATTTGTTGACCTTGAAACATATAGTATTTAACAGTACAGTATGTATATCATGTAACGATGAATGACGTAAAATATTATAAAATAATAAATACAGTGTAGATCAAATTTCACCTTGAAGTATGACTTGTACAAAACATTATAAATAGAAATGAGCCATGTCACGACAAAACCAACATAGTGCGTTTGGGACCAGCATAACAAATAGAGAAACTGATAGCGAACAGCATGGATCCTGATCAGACTGCGCGGATGCGCAGGCTGGTCTGGATCTATGCTGGTCGCAAACGTATTATGTTGGTTTTGTCGTGACACGGCTCAAATGATGGCAAATGAAAAATTCATAGAGCGTACCTCCTCTGGGCGACACATTTCATGGGCTTCTGGTCCAAAAATGCCCTGCTCAGCCATCTCCTGGGCTTTCTGTAAAACACCCACATGAATAAATAATAGTGTATACATGTAAAAAAAAATCTTAAATTCATAAAACAACTCTGCTTCATTGGCTGCATTATTACAAACTTTGTTATGTGTATTTTCTAGGTTGTATTTTAAAGTCTAACACTAAGTGTAACTTAATGGTATATTGCAAATTTCTGACTGGATGTGAACCTACATTGGTAATGGGCAATAGTTTGCTGTCTTCTAATTCAACCACTCAGCAACTGAAACCGCTGGTGTAAAGCTAAGTGATTCATAGTCACACGACTTCTTTTAAACTATACTGGTTGAGAAAGACTAAACTTTTTTTCCTTACATTTCTGAAATTTTCAACAAAGCAATCTGAAAAGGTTCCACAAATAAAATATCTCCAAGCAGAGAAGGGGGTCATGATTTTTTAACCAAATATATACTACATCTACATATGCCAATACCAGGTAGCCAACAATAACTACTTACCTCAGCAATTAGATGACCATTTTCTGCATGAACCATAGCTAAAGCTCCCAGTTCCTTACATCTCTTGAATGCTGCATACAACTCACTGTCATCCAACATAAACACATCTTTATATGCTAAAAACATCTTGAATGAATTAATACCTGAAACAGAAAACAATTAAAATATGAAATAAAATCATATAATCTAAAACTAAATGTCAACTCAGAACTGAAATGTCATAAAAATATTTTTTGGTTCATGAAAACAGAATTCTAGTTGAGTTTGAAAACACATTAACAGATGACAACTTCAAGCTTTCTTTTCCTTAAAAATAAAGACCAGATAATCAATTCTATGCTTTATCACCAGGATGGGCTGCCATATGGGTTGAACCAACCTTTTACAGGTAAAAAATTATATTAGGTGCTTAGATATAGATAAAATGATTATATGGAGGAAACCCATCCACAGCCAAATACATGTTACAAAAAGCTTTTTTGGTAAAGAAAATGTTGGTGTTTGAAAAGACTGGTACTCTATTGACTTTAACATTTTTGAAATCCCATACTTTAAAGCAGCACGCCTCCAGATTCATGCTAATTTTCATGAAAATTTTGAAAATGTATTTGAATGTAAAATATTGTTGAGATAACCAAAAGGAAGCCATTTACATATTATTAATGGCACTTTCAAGCCATGTAAATTACCAAAAAGTAGTCAAAATATGCATAAATTGCCCTTACTGTGTTAGTAACGCAGTAGAAATTTAGTTGTAAATACTAAAAAATCAGTCATTAACCGCACATAACATGTAAAATATGACTTGAATCTTGAACCATTTTACGTTTCCTAAAATCGTAGTACATATTTCTCAAGTTTAATTTTATTGATAGTATTTTTTGACTCATCTGGAGGCATGCAGCTTTAAAGGTGAAAACTTAATTGCAGCCAACGACATATTACCAACCTCTTTCTTTAGCTAAAACTTCCATTTCTTTAGCTACACTGTCATTCCAGTAAGTGACAGCAACATGGAGACCATAATCACAACAAACTTTGTTGTCCGCCCAGTTACGCCATTTATCATACGCATCTAACAATGGGACACCTTTTTGGTCTAACACAAAATCGACTGAAAAACAAGATATATACAGATTAAATTTATAAAGAGATTAAAACAATAAATGCTGAAACCTCCTACATTTCAATTACAGTAAATTGGTCCTTAATCAAAGGTCTGTAGTACCATAAATAATTATGTTGATAGTATTAAGTATCATGCATTACAAAAAACGATGGTGTGAGATGTATGGTTTGATATGACACATATTTATATTATATAGCAGACTGATAATATAATAATTTGTTCTAGAACAAAATATTATCATTTATCATATTCAATCACATAGAACTTATTGTTTCCTGTATGCATAGTTCTTTCTCTGACCTAACATGTTTGTTATCATTATCTCACTATAAACCGACACAAAAAACAACTTCAAAGCAATATACTATCAGTTATTTTTTAATTATTATTTTTTAAAAAAAAAATAAAACAGTGTTCCAAATATCAAGGCAAGAAATACTTTTTTTTCATAAAATTAAATAAGCAAAACCATGAGCAAATTCCTGGAATATTTTAACAAGATAGAGGTGTATAAACCTACTTATCATTGTGGTGCCTCCAGCTAGGGCAGCTTTTGTCCCGGAATAGAAGTCATCAGCTGCCTGCGTGCCCATGAATGGGAGCTGCATGTGTGTGTGAGTGTCTATACCACCTGGTATAATCAACTTGCCCTGCGCCTCAATGGTACGAGCCCCACCGGGAATGACCAGGTTCGTACCAATTTGTCTGAAAAATTTAACATACATCTTAATAAAGATGTAGAAGTGGCGGCATGGCCGAGTGGTTAACGCATCAGACTAGTAAGCTAATGATCGCTAGCCACATGGGTTCAAACCCCGTCAGAGGCAAGTCATTGTTTCCTCGAGCAAGAAACTTAACACTCATTGCTAAGTACTGGTTGGTTCCAGGGACAGATTCGAAAGTGTGTCTATAAGCTTATAGCTTCCTAAAATAAATTCTGTATAAACCAAAGACTTGTAGCCACTGATAAAGAACAGGTATATAAATAAATATGAGAATAAGACAATTTGTTATAAGGTAAAAGCTTCTATATCATATATATTATACAACAGTAACTGTTGTTCTTTCCCACTGGCAAACAAGCACCATGATACACCATAAACTTGAACATATCAAGTGAGCTAATGACACATATGCAATGCATGGCTCCCAGAAGTGGCACTAAATGACAATGATCGAAATCCACATCTTTGTCAATATTTTCATCACCAGTGAAATAATTAATTCATCACCAGTGAAATCATTAATTCATTAAATTGCTGAAATAAGCCACCATCATAAACAACATAACAGCAACACATTGTGTTTCTACCTATGAGTCAGCTATATTGATTAATTAAGGTGATGCTAAAACTTTTTTTTTGTAAGGTATTTTCTTGGCACTTCTTTACATAAAAAAAGCCTGACATAAAAAAAGATCACTTTCTGAAAATTTCTAGTAAGATTCAAACACAATGGATGAGAAAGAAGTAGTTCAAATTTCCTTGTTCAGTGAACTCTGAATACCAACATTAAAAATTGTATCTGTGTAAATGGTACTTCTGTCAAATGTCTATATAAACGGTGTTATACAAATAATAAGAACTTACTTGATAACTCCATCTTCAATGTATATATCTGCAAAGATAGACTGGTCATCATTCACTATCTTTCCTCCTTTAATAAACAATCGAGACTGTGCACTCTGAAAATAAACAAAACAAAAAACGTAATTCTAAGTTTCAGACATATTTAGTTAACAGTTACAACATTGCTCTTCTTATCCATCTTAACATACTGTGAAAAATCTTTTTCAAGAATCATCATGAATGTCTGTTTTCGGAATTTTAACTCATACATTTTACATGCCCAAATTTGTCCAATAAACTTGTTCTTGTTTGAATTCTGATCAATCTGTAATCAGTTCAATAAGAATTTATAGTAAGCAGTCATAGATATATAAAATGGTTGGAGTGTAGTTGTATGAAAGTGATTGACTGGTTGTCATCATGCTGGTCACATTTCTACCAGCATTCATTTACTATCAAAGCCATTTCAATTAAGAACAAAACTAATCATTCCAGCAATATCCTTGAAATATATAACTGCTTGCAATTACCTAGTATTCTGATTAAAAAGAAAAGGTTTCAATTCTATTGCACACATAATTTTGCATGTTTAGCATGCCTCCTGCTAAGATCTGTTATTGTTGCCGCTAACTTCAACTGGTTCCAGTAGGACTTTTTTTAGAGATTAACACATAAGTCATATAACAATTAACTATCTTAATATTTTGTGCTACACTATGAAATACTAGTTCAATGTAATTAACATATATTGATGACTATATATAAACCCATAGGAACATACATATGAAATTTGTTTTGCAAAACTGAGACTTCTGTATAAACTGAATAACAAGCAAGTACAGAATACTCTTCCAGCTCAACAATCATATAAAATATTATGATTTATATTTAACTTATTAATATGTGGAGGACAAATATATAACCATAAATAAGTAACATCAGTATTCACAGCCACTTAGCATTTCAGCTTAGTAGACAAAAACAGAATACATTAAATCTCTTAAAACTTAATGATAATCCTTTAACTATATCTACTGAAGTCATAAAATGTACTGTGATGATATAAAATGACATTAATTTTGTTTTTTCTTGGCTTGCATCCATAAACAAAAAGTTCAAACATGAAGCATATTTAAAGTTGAAATTAATCTGTTATCCAGTAAAAATGATGCACAAGTTTGAACTACCAATGTGTGTATGTATTTTATTAATGACACTGGCAATTAACAATATATGTATGATCTGTCTCCAGAGTCTTTCATTATGTTAAGATTTGATCACCTGACATCTCATCCATGGGTACATCCCAGTATTTTACAAGATATTCTAGAACAAAAATTTTCAGATAATTTACTAAAAAAACTCTTAGAAATTCTATGAAGATCCTATGGATTATTACATTAGCTTCACAAAAATATTATCCACAAGAAAACCATTGAATGCCAATAAGGCATACTAACCTTTAAGACAAAACAGAATTCCCAATAAGAAATCTCAAAGTTAGGGTGAATCAACAGTTATCACAAAGAAAATTAAAGGGTGACTTTTTGATCTGATAACAATACATGGCACCATTAGAGTTAATAGAACAATCATCTATAAGTTTGATCCTAGGTTAATTGAACTAGTTATCAATCCGAATGAGTAAAATTTGGGTGCCTAATGTCTTACTGTGATCTTAGTTTTGACCTACTGGAAACATCAGAGTCTTGCTTAAAGCCTATCTGATCCTATAATGTATGTTGATTTTTGTGAGTTTTAAGTGCTCTAAATGTCTTAAAATAACTGCTGTATTTTAAGTTTTTTTGGTGGAACATAAGCAGATACTTTTGTAAAGCCTAGTTGTATAGCTTAGTGCATGAACTAAAAGTCTCCATTATAATCATTTTGCAATAGACTGGTCGCCAAATATTTTGATTCCTAAATCTCCTTATTAGACAAAATAAGTGGGTGGGGTACAGTAAACACATGACATGGTAAAAAACATAAGAACACAAACCAGTCTATGAGACCTGACATGGTCTAATCAACACATGACTGGTATCTACAGGCAGTCTAATTCCCTGTTTTGATTTCTCTATCCGGTACAAGATAACTTATCTTCTTCTCTACATTCACAATTTCAACACATTAGTGTTGTAACCCAACATATCCAAAGAATAAGTTAGTGCAGTCTTGGATAAACTTTTCATATCCTCCAAAATGGTTAATCTCTTTCTTTGAAAGGGTTTCAGCCTGGTGATTTATATTTTTTTTCTTATTTAATAGACATTAGTATGCACTTAATATTTTTGTAGTCAAGTCACTAAGAAGAACATTGACATCTGGAAAATGAAATATCGAGCATTTGTTTCTTATCATACATATCAATATATCCTTTATTGAATTTTAAATCCTTGAAGGTAAGATGGTTTTAAAATATCAATATCTAAACCTATGTTTTTTCCTATGCCATCAGTGTATTAGGCCTGTTTTCACATCAGGCTCTTTACTGCTACTCTTTGCTACTTTCTTTTATCAATCGCTCTAACATTATGGAGAGTTCCAAATTCAAAGTAACAAAGTAACACAAGTCCATTATATTTAGCATGTTACAGTTTAAATAACGGCAAATTGTTATTTATGCTCGTTACAGGGCCTACTTTAGTCATTAATACTCTAACAGCTTACTATGCGATCTTAAAAACCATAACAAAAACATTTACATTTTACAATGGGTTAGACCTTGTGAACAGATTTATGTCTTATAAAAACATTGTTAATATTTGATCCAGGCTTAACAATAATAGGTTTTAGCCTCAGGGTAATTCTTTAAATTGAAAATTGGATAGTTCATTACAGAAGCTATTACTGTGACAATAGATGGTATCTATACCATTTACATGCTACAATACATTAATGACAGGTCGGTCGCAATTAAACACAAGAATTATTTTTGCAGTGGTAACAAAATCTTATCATATTGTATCATTGAACGATTATATAAATTCCCACTGACAAAGGGACCTGTCCATCAATCTTGGAAAAAACCACAACCCCACACTGTTAAACCGATAAAAATACAACTTCTTTATCACCAGATAACATAACATTATGTTATACTGATAAAAATTCAACCTAGTTCTCCTCAGCAAGACTTTGATTTCACTGACATACATGTAAGGCAAGATAAGCTTCAAATTAACCCTAAACCATTAATCATTTCACAATCACTATTAAACTGGTAGTCCAAAATTAGACAAACAATACTAAAGGGATATTAGGCATTAATGTTGTCTGACCAGACTATACGCTTGTAGCGTTTTGAGACAGGGAAATCCCTTCTTGCAGACTACGTAACGGAAGAGCACAGGAAGAAGTTCTTACATACAGTCATACATTAGAAAAGACATGAGCAGGCAACTTAATAAAGCCATTAACTATTCTTATCCTATTTTAATAACTTCCTAACAAAGAGAAAATGAAAACTTCTGAATTAAAACAAACTTTAGAAAAAACAATCTACTAAATTTATGCATCATTTTCATTTCTTATCAATACCAATCTCAATGCATTGTTAGTCCAATATACATCAATTGTTACTACAAAATTCACCCACTTCCCAATGTTTCATTAATTTGTTGTTTCTTTACAGTGCATAAAGGCTGGACCTCTGTTCATCTACTTACTAGTATGCCCTACAGCCTGCTGCTTTAATAAATGGATCACTTAAAACAGTTTTTAGCCAAAATAACAATACCTGCATCAAATGTCAAAATGTATAAATAATAAGTCCTGACAAGGATCCCCCAGTATAGCCAATCAAAACAACTTTAATAACTACAGGATACTGAACTTCTCGGCTAGGTCATACAAATTTAGCACAGAATTGGCTAATCCAAGTGACACAGTCTTAATTAAGAAACATAGATGTTTTACACTTACAGAATGTTCACAACAACTGCAAACCATCCTCTTGTCACACTTGTGTGACTTTTTTGTCTTACAAGTGTCATCGTTGTTTTCATTGTTCACCTCTTGCTCAAGATCGGCCATGTCTTTTTCTTCAAGTTTGAGTTCACTTAGAGCATGCAAACTTTTATTATCAATCTTTATGCACCGTTTCTGCTTGCAGCTTGTTACAGATATACAACACTAGCTTTCAAAGTTATTCCATTTTATATTTTAAACCTGAACCTAATCAAAGACACTAAACTTTGCAACTTTTATTTTCCAGTGACAAGTTTAAAACAAAAGTTAAAATATCAATTACACACTTATTCCTATTAGTGCATGACAAAGTTCTTTACATAAAAAATAAAAAATGAATGCTGATTAAATAACATGTTTAATTCCAAATTTACATTTTGACAGCTCATACTGCCTGGTGTTTATTTTCAAAAAGTCAACTTCCGCACCAAAATGCACTCTATAAAATGTTATACACAGTTACACAGCCTGTTTCAAATCATGTAGAAGTTGACTGAATCATAAACTATTTCCTTTTACCCTTGAACATAATCAAGACTTTTTCCACTGATTGACAAAATGATTAAGAAAGAAAAACCACTCGCGCCAAACACTTGTAATCATTAATTTTAAACTGTTATTGACCTGTATTGAATTCTGAGTCGATACTGTAATTAACAATCAAATATTAAACAAGCACATATTAACTGCAGCTTAAAAACAAATCGAAAGTTCCTGAATAAATGATAACGAAATACATTTTGTATGTTTTTTCCATTTCAAGCATGGCAAAAAGAAGACGGTGATTTATTCATTGATTAAATGAAAAGCGTTCACTGGGAAGAAAAAAACAACAGTTGAAACGAAAATGATTTCAAGAAAGAGGAAATTTTCTCGAGTTTTATCAGCTTTCTATAATGGCGTCTGCTGCATTTTACGATTAAATATCATGCAGACAACTGCTAAGGAAGAGTGACACAGCAACCTATTATATAATCAATAAAAAGTCTGAATCACCGACTTGTTTCCATGCCGATTAATGCCTTTCACGGCTAGAGCTTCATGGGATCAGACACTAGCACGAGGCTCCGTCATGAAACGTACAGACCTCTTGTAACAATACATACATGTTACCAGACACATACATATTTTTTTTATCACGCTACTTTAAATTCTGCCCACAGGGAAATCTGCTTAATAAAAGTTATATGAGAATTAGTTATCACTTTAAACATCACAGCTTCAGGACTTGATGAAGCTTTCTTCCATACAGATGGCTAAAATATATGATTTTGTGCATTATCAAGTTATCAAACCATCAAACCTTTCCTTTCATACATCAGAGATTTTATTCAGATATCATTAAATTTACTAAGACAATGAGGTCTATAAATATTCTATACAATTATTTATCATAATATTTATAAACAAAGGAAATGTAAGATACAGAAATTGTAAAATTTAATGGACAATAATTATACTAAGCAAAGAAAACTTGGTTTATCATAAATCTGGAAGAAATCTCTAAAAATTTTAGGCTCGTCTTCATAAAAAAAGAATAAAAAAGAAAACTTGATAAGGAAATATAGTTATGTTGTACTTTTCAATGCACTTAACACAATAAAGTTTCTTAATGTATGTAGCACAATCAAGTTTCTTAATGTATGTAGCACAGAAGGAAATAAAAATTAGTATGATGATGATCAATTTGTAAAAATCCACTGCCCTGGTATTCTAAAAATCAAGTTTATATACATGTAGCATTGTATATATAAAGATCCGTTCAAATAAGGTAAAAATATAATTGTTACAATTCATATTAATATCAATACCCTTATCAACATGTTTGGAGGCAATAGTATCTTATACCTGGACAATCAACATTGCAAACTAAGCAATGGTAATTATTTCTATATAAAGTTTAATTTAGCATTTCAATCATTTCAAATGACTTGCATTCAAATTATAAACCTTCAATGCCTTGTGGTACTAAACTTTTTTAAATAGCAGGTATCTGTATAAAATGTATAGGTCATAACTGAACTGTAAAATGTTGCATTCAATAAAAAGAAATAAATCAATTCTTCTTTAAATCTCTTCAATTCATGATATATTTATATAAATCAGTTCAGTTTGGAGTCAAATTACTAAAAACACCTCTTCAAAAGACAAACATTTCAACTAGAATGACAAAATCAATAGTGGATGATTCACAAGCCATTCTAACATTGTCAATCAATGCCTGACATGTACAACACTTCAAGTTTATAACATGAAATGTGCAAATCCCATTAAAAACAGAAATCTGCAAGTTGATAACTTATCTGTCTACATGCTGAAATTTCTTACACTGGAACATAGATGTAATGGAATTCTTCACCTATAATGACATTTCTTTTAATCCAGATGCATTCCTTTTACATTTGTTGTCATCTCACAATTTCAGCAATGTTATTTTTTTCCATGGGAAGTGGGAGAGTGCGAGGGTGTATTGAGTGAGAAAGTGCAATGAAAAGGGATTCCAATTAGTTAGAAAATTGCATGAGCTATAGTTATAACTTATAAAGGAGACCCTAAAAAGTGCATCCAATTAGCCAGAGTCAATTGCATGTGCAATAGTTATAAAGGAGACTCTAAAAAAGGCTTTTATAGTGTCAAAACCAGCAGATGCAATAACAGATCTGGTAGGGAAAGTATAACAAAGAAATAACAAGCATAAAAGATCTGGGAGGGCAAGGATAACTGTCATGAAGATAGAAATAACAATCTAGTAGAAGCAGAAACAGATCAAGGAGGGAAAAAAGTACATAGAAATCACTAGAAATAACAGACAAGTGGATGCAAAAACAGAGGGCAAGGAGATAGAAAAAAACCACCTTGAATGTGGCAGCAAGAGAAAAAGGTTCATAGAAATCACTAGAAATAACAGGCAAGTGGATGCAACCACAGATTAATGAGGGCAAAGATTACAGAAGCTGTCACGGATCTTGCAGGATAATGATTACACTAGCCAGGTGACATAATGTAGTAACAATGAAAAGATATATAGGCAAAACAATTGAATTGTAACAGAAAATAAGAGAAGGTTTTAATATGCCATAAAAACATGCATAATTACTGTGTAAAAACAGCTATGTGAAGTTCTGGAATCTTCAAACAACTTAATTAAGTTAAAGGATGAAGTGATTCTTTAATATTAATTAAGTGGTAATTAAGCTGCAATATGGGAGTACTCCATGAAGATACCCAGACTGTTTCTTGTCAAATGAAAATCTGCTTTCATCATAGGTTTTACAGCTGGAACCATAATACATTAACTGATATATTAACAATTATTTTAGAAGACAGGTGCTTGCATGATGTCTAAAATCTAGTACCATACAGCCTACACCTGTAGGTCTGAAGCTGCACCATGTGTTGATTATATAAACTGTAAGAAAATATGTTATGACAAATAACTATTACAAAGAAACTGTAAATTACTCATATGACAATTGCATTGTGCATTGTTAAGTGTTTAAATGTTGTCTTGCTGTAAACTGAACGAGGAAAACTGTTCATGCAATCATGATCCGGAGAAAACAACTAAATATTCTTCAAGAATCTCGTCCATGCAGAATTGTTACACTGTCCAGAAGATTTTCATAAAACACTGGTCTATCTTAAAATCAATAATTTCAAATCAACACCTCCAGAAATCGTTTTGACCACTCAGGCCTACGACCTTCATGGTCAATTCCTACGCATCCAAACTCAAAACCTGTGTTAAATAGCCTATAAACATCGCTGATAGTGATATTATTTCTTAATTAACATACTGCATATACTAAAACCTACAAAGTCAGCATTTTCACAACTATTCTTTTCTACTGACACCCTTCAAACAGCTTTCATCATGACCTCATGTTTCAAACACAAGTGTTTTTGCATATAAATGAATGATTTTGCATAAATTTCAGCAGAATAAGTATTGATTGAAATGCAAAGTCAGGTGGCGCATCAACCTTGCAATGCCAATTTCTAGAATACAATTAAGGTCTGTACATATCTTTTTCAAAAGACCCTAGTAACTTAAAAGAATAAAATGGACCCTGTATTCTATCTAGAACAGCTTTTTCCTGCTTTAAAAATCCACTTTTGATGATACTGTTAAATCTAATACTAAGATTAACTTATACAAGTACACACATATACCTGAATAATTCAATCTAAAGTAAAAGCATACCTTCTTATGTTCTCCCTCCATTTTTTCAAAATTATGCAAGCTACAAAATAATCACTGAAGTAGAACGTCCCTTTCTTAAAACAACAGTCAAGCGAAGAAAACTGTAGAAATTTAACCGTTGATAAATCTGTGATGAACTTTCGACAGCTTTACACAATTTCAAACTGGTCGATAAAATGTCTACTATAATGTGTCCATAACCAGCCTAACGGTGTTTTTATTTGTTCTATACTATGAAGGCCGCCAACTCTGATAAACCATCAATATATAAATATCTACTCAATATTTGAGTATGAAAAGAATTAAACATAACATATATCCTTCTAAATAGCTTGGTGAGATAGGAAGTCTTCAATTTAAAACTCCACACACTTCATTTACGTGTTTATATATAGACGTCAGATTTAAAAACAGCTCACTAGATTTAATTTGAATATTTGGAGCAGATAAAGGCGGTGAGCACCTCTTTGGCCCCTGGTTGGCTGCACACAAAATCACATAGTGTGTTTACAAAACATTGTAAAATCCCAGCTATTTTGGCCATAAAAATCCAACCAATTTGTCAAGTGTCTATTTAATTAAAGCAAAGACCATCACCCATAGCAAAATAGTGTGATTCATTTATTTACAAATTCTCAATAAACACCAGTTGAATTAAAGCAACACCAATTTTATTTTGCTAAATGAAACAAGAAACATGGCAATGCCATGAAACCAGGTTTTCAATTATCACCATTGTAGATAAATATGTTGTATTTGAAATACAAATACAAGCAACAAACAATGTAACTATGTGCAATGTTAAACATGAATAATGTAGGAGGAATTGCCACTGAAGAAGTGTTCACTATAATATTATGTATAAGGAAAAAAAACAAAGGGCCATAATTAGGTCAAAAACTATCCAATCACAAAACCCCGACAATATGTGCCAGGGTGCTTGATGACAAAGCTTCTGTGAAAGTTTGAACAAAATCCGTTGAGAAATGTAGGACGAGTTCAGCACAGAAGAATTTGTTCACTATAATTATATTGATAATTCTGTATAATGAAAAACAAGTTACAAAGTAGACATGAAATAATATATCATATCTTTTTTAAATTACCTCCAAAGATGATATGACCTTTGACTGCCAAATCAAGTTAAAATCATGTAAACAGGATTTTCAATGTTAATGTCACTGTGACCTTGACCTTGGAGCCAGCCATGCGGAACATGCGTTCTGCACGTCATCTTGATGTGGTAAACATTTGTCTGAAGTTTCATCAAAATTCTTCAAAGGGTTGAAGAGTTACAGAGCGGACAGGATTTTCAATGTTAATGTCACTGTGACCTTGACCTTGGAGCCAGCCATGCGGAACATGCGTTCTGCACGTCATCTTGATGTGGTAAACATTTGTCTGAAGTTTCATCAAAATTCTTCAAAGGGTTGAAGAGTTACAGAGCGGACAGGATTTTCAATGTTAATGTCACTGTGACCTTGACCTTGGAGCCAGCCATGCGGAACATGCGTTCTGCGCGTCATCTTGATGTGGTAAACATTTGTCTGAAGTTTCATCAAAATTCTTCAAAGGGTTGAAGAGTTACAGAGCGGACAGGATTTTCAATGTTAATGTCACTGTGACCTTGACCTTGGAGCCAGCCATGCGGAACATGCGTTCTGCACGTCATCTTGATGTGGTAAACATTTGTCTGAAGTTTCATCAAAATTCTTCAAAGGGTTGAAGAGTTACAGAGCGGACACAATTTCGTTCATGTAAACAGGATTTTCAATGTTAATGTCACTGTGACCTTGACCTTGGAGCCAGCCATGCGGAACATGCGTTCTGCACGTCATCTTGATGTGGTAAACATTTGTCTGAAGTTTCATCAAAATTCTTCAAAGGGTTGAAGAGTTACAGAGCGGACAGGATTTTCAATGTTAATGTCACTGTGACCTTGACCTTGGAGCCAGCCATGCGGAACATGCGTTCTGCACGTCATCTTGATGTGGTAAACATTTGTCTGAAGTTTCATCAAAATTCTTCAAAGGGTTGAAGAGTTACAGAGCGGACAGGATTTTCAATGTTAATGTCACTGTGACCTTGACCTTGGAGCCAGCCATGCGGAACATGCGTTCTGCACGTCATCTTGATGTGGTAAACATTTGTCTGAAGTTTCATCAAAATTCTTCAAAGGGTTGAAGAGTTACAGAGCGGACACAATTTCGTTCATGTAAACAGGATTTTCAATGTTAATGTCACTGTGACCTTGACCTTGGAGCCAGCCATGCGGAACATGCGTTCTGCACGTCATCTTGATGTGGTAAACATTTGTCTGAAGTTTCATCAAAATTCTTCAAAGGGCTGAAGAGTTACAGAGCGGACAGGATTTTCAATGTTAATGTCACTGTGACCTTGACCTTGGAGCCAGCCATGCGGAACATGCGTTCTGCACGTCATCTTGATGTGGTAAACATTTGTCTGAAGTTTCATCAAAATTCTTCAAAGGGTTGAAGAGTTACAGAGCGGACAGGATTTTCAATGTTAATGTCACTGTGACCTTGACCTTGGAGCCAGCCATGCGGAACATGCGTTCTGCACGTCATCTTGATGTGGTAAACATTTGTCTGAAGTTTCATCAAAATTCTTCAAAGGGTTGAAGAGTTACAGAGCGGACACAATTTCGTTCATGTAAACAGGATTTTCAATGTTAATGTCACTGTGACCTTGACCTTGGAGCCAGCCATGCGGAACATGCGTTCTGCACGTCATCTTGATGTGGTAAACATTTGTCTGAAGTTTCATCAAAATTCTTCAAAGGGTTGAAGAGTTACAGAGCGGACAGGATTTTCAATGTTAATGTCACTGTGACCTTGACCTTGGAGCCAGCCATGCGGAACATGCGTTCTGCACGTCATCTTGATGTGGTAAACATTTGTCTGAAGTTTCATCAAAATTCTTCAAAGGGTTGAAGAGTTACAGAGCGGACACAATTTCGTTTGACGCCCGCCCGCCCATCCGCCCATCCGCCCAGCCGCCCATCCGCCCATCGCCCCGCCATACCCCAATCTAATAACCAGGATTTTCAAAATTGAAAACCTGGTTAATAAAATAATGCAGAGATATTAAATTGCATTGAAGTTGAACATACAAGTGTATGAATTCTGCTGGTACTAATTTATCCTGTTAATAAGCTATGAGGAAAAATATATTAAGTCCCTGCTTTGTTATGTTTTATCATTTTTGCGATGATTGAATTTGTCAAAAAAAAAATCTCTTATTAGCAGAATATATTTCACCATTGATCAGTCCAGTTCCTCTTTGCTGATTGAAATTTGGCATCTGATATTCAGATTTCAATCAGCATGGAGGGATTGAACTATGCTCAAATATTTTATGCTGATAAAGAGATTTTTTTTTTCATTTTAAAAGCACTTGAAAACAGTATAAGTTCAAGCATTAGTAGCACACTTGGGGATTCCTTTAGTGCTTAAAAAAAGCTTGTATGTTATTTGAATCACTAACAAGTATGATTCCTCAAACTAAGCTATACAAATGCTGTATGAGAAATTGGTTGTGACCTTCAAACCCACAATCACTGAGTCCAGTGGCAGACACCTAAATCATTAATCAAAAGCCCACTGCTCCCCACAAAAAACACATTCAAACTTACAAGGTTAAGAATCTGTATCTTAAACCACTGTGTCAATGATAGGTGATCATTGATGATCGTTTTAAAACTTATAGGGTAGGTCTGGTATAATCATATCAAATTTCATTCTATATCATATTTCAAGTATAGAAATATATATATAAGCTTGTATATGATAAATAAATATATCATATATAATTATGCAATCAAATATTACTCATAATTTCTTTCAACTTCCCTGTTTAAAATACCACACTACCACAGAAAAATACAGAAAAAATGTCATATTTTTACACATTTCATTTAGCTATTACTCATACAATTATGGTTGTGTGTCTAGGAGGAAAAAAAATATAAACAAATCATTTCAAATGGTTTCTTAAAATGTTCATCTAAAACTGCAATGTCTTATCATTAATATCACAGCAAAGGGGATCTGAAAACAACAAAATTACTGTTGAACATCAGCTGAATGCAAATATTTAGTTTCTTTAGTTTGATGGTGAAAGATCTCAGGTGCCCTTTTATGCATTATTTCAGGTATGAGCCAGTACCCGAGTAGAACCACTGATCTTAAGCATTAGCTTACAGGTGGATCTTAAATACAGGTTATTTTGTTTTCCAATGGACTATCATTAAGATAGCCTCTTGATGCTACATAGTATATATTACTGTCAGTTAAACTTAAATTCAAGTTTTATAACAGTCTCTCTGTTAAAGTTTAAGTGTTTTCAAGAGCAATTTGGTCAACTTTTCCTATGAATTTGTAGACTTTCATAAGTCTGTCTAACATAACATAAATACAATATATTCAACGTAGGCTTATATCTGTGCTTAACTTCTTGATCTTTCCACATGTTCCTAATCCATTCCAAACCGGATCAAGATAAAGCTTTAATACTTATCCTAATCTTAATTTAAATATGAAATGGCATATTGTGAAATATATCAGTTAAAGTGTTAAAGGCACCTGACTTCCTCTGGTCTTGATCCAATTATGATAAAACAGATTAAACTTTAATGTAAATTTCAACTTCAAGGGCAGATAACTCGTGCACTGCCACTCCATCCATATTTTTCATAACACCAAAATTTTAATTAGCCCAAAGGGACATTTATGAACTAGTAACTTAATACATACACTGGTCATTTATCTTTCTCTTGACCTTATCTACTCATAACTGAACACTTTAGATTATAACATGACAGATCAGACTGTTTAATTCATATATCAAATCTATGAATTTGTACTATAATTAGCCTATGGCAAGGGAGGATTACTCCTGGTTGCATAAGTCTAAAACTAGTATCCAAAGAGTTATGTTTTCCTGAATGTTAAAATGTGATAGGATCTATTTATATTGATTCTTATGCAACATATGGCGGCACAACTGTATGCAAATTTGCAGGAAAATCAGGAGTTGACAACAGTATTTGTCTCCGTATAATTGATTATATTTACAGACAAAGTAATGTTCTTTATTATAGCAATTCATAGAGGTTGAGTCAGAGAAAAATTATCAACTACCTGTTTTATAGATCAAACATTATTCTGTTTTTTGGTGGTAATTTTTCAATACAAAAGCAAATTTTGCACCTGCTATTTGTGTTAAGGTATCGTAATTAAAAGATGTTTTATTGGGCAGGTTTGATGCCCTGATAAACACCATTTATAAGCAATTTGATGAAAGTGATAACACAAGAAAAGAAATACTATAGTTACATAAATGTGTTGAAAATAACCTATAAATAAACCAAAAAAGCCTTAAGGTTTAAACCACATAATTTCTACCTACAGTTACATTAAATTTGAATTTGAAGGTGATTTAGTTTGATGACTGAGCAGTTACAGAGTCATAACTAAGCTTATAACAGATAGTGACCAACACTGATTCTTAGGAATGTACTGTATAACACAAAGTTCTACTCATAGTTTAAAACAGTAACAACTACCTGTATTCATCGTGAATCAGACCACATGAAATCATTACTATATCTTTTGATGGT